TCTGTGACTTGGAATTACTGAGCAGGTATTGCATGATATACTGAGTGTAATAACAACAACAGCATGGTGTTGGTAAGACCCCCGTTGTATTTTAACCAATAAGTTGGTAACCGAGATAAGTGAAACAAGGGAGCGGATGGGAAAATCATGGGTTGACAACCTAACTTGGCTATGTGTTTTACTAATGTGCTGAAAACCCAACTGTAAACCGAACTGTTCGGGATAAATTGGAAATTTTAATTAGTTCAACTGATGACTAATCTATTATTTTTTCATTTTTATAGTGTACATTACCAACTTAAAGTACACTGTGAATAAGAAGTGTCAATGCATTCAACCTATACGGCTTTCTTAAATGAGACAGTATGTAGACAATAGACCAAAAATGAACAAGCAGTCCAGCTTGATATATAGCTCAGGAGATTTTGTTGTCGAAACTGTATCTTTGATTTGATAAACTTGTGTTACAGTAAATAATATGTTTCTTGAAAAATAATCGATTTCTTCCTCAAAATGAGTAATGACATCATCAGTGACAATAGTATGACATCACCAGTGACGTAATTGAGATGTCATCGGATTTGTAGTGTTGTCACAGAAACGTCTATGTAACAAGTGTTTAGGATTGGTAGGGTGTATAATAATGAAACATCAAAATATTTCAATAAGTTCATTTGAAGTAAATTTTGAGCAAAGATATGCAAAATTTTCCAATTAGAATATATATAAAAATGACGTCACATGGTTACCATAGTTACCATGGTAACTGAATGGTGTTGTCTGTGGTATTGTTGAGCATGTAATGCTATCCAACACACACTTAGTTTTTAAAAATTGATGTTTTGTCACTTTTGTGATGAAAAAATGTGTATTTAAGTGCATGTTGTTCATAGCTATGACGTCGTGATGATTTCATTATGACGTCATCATATTTCCATGGTAACGCAGTTTTGTTACATTTTATCAACTAGTATTGCTTATTTGACATATAACATGTCATACAACACTTTTGTAATCGTTTTTAAGTAATAAATGATCTAATTTCAGTTTTTGTGTTTTTCTTTGTCATTCAATGACGTCTTACAGTTTCCATGGCAACGATAAGTGTCCAACTGTTACACTGTGTTGTTGCTCTGTATGTCACGAATGTAGTCTGAAATTATTGTGGTGATTGGATGAAATCTCTAGAAGTTATGACCTTATATGTTAAAAAATCAGCATAAAACCAAGCATTTTGGTGCCACATTTCACACCCAGCTGTAATACATCTATACAGTGTCGCTCTTCCAAAAATTGGACTAAAATTCCGATATTCAAATTGCCGTAACTTTTGATTCCCTTGACCGATTGTGATGAAACAAACACCATTATGTTTTAAATAACGCGCTCTATCAAACTAACCTACTTGTGGAGCCCCCCTGTAAATTTGAAATTTTGGCCGTTATCCCTAACTTAAGCCCCAGGTTCACATATGACTGATGCATGCCTGCAACACATACCTGCAGTGGCAAGGCAAATGCGAACACTTGTCACACAAGTCGTCGGGGATATGCTGGTAGAGTTGACTCGAATGGTAGATACTCTTTTATGCAACGTTTCCAGAAGATATCTGCAAGGTATTGGACTTGCCTCCATCTGCGACGTGAATGGGTATTGTTGGTAAATACACCGGGGGGAACGTGGGATCCTTTCCAGAGCAGTAACAGGTAGGCTTGGGCGGTTTTGCTTAAAATCAAAACTGAAAAACCGTCTGATTCTAAACCGGGAAAACCGGTTTTCCCTTTAATTTGTATTTCAACTGAATGAGGAGGAATTGTGGTATTTTTTTGACATAAGCACAAACGAACAGAACATGACAAAACACAAAATTGTGTAAAGGTAACCTAAAACAACTTCGGTTTTAAAATAAAATGGTCAAGAACGCATTTGAAAACTTATACCTCTTTAGTTCTTACCGACTTTACGGAAAAAGAATATAATTTGTATCTAGTGTCATGTAATTGTGTTTAATTAGTGTCATGTTTTGAGAATTAGGATCGAGTTTCATGCGTTGACAGTAAACAATTTCGTAATGACGGTTTTCCGGTTTTTGTAAAAGCTAAACCGAAAAAACCGGTTTGAAAATAAAACCGGAAAAAACCGAAAAACCGGTAAACCGCCCAAGCCTAGTAACAGGTGGTTTGGAGTGAGGGCTTCGAGATCTTTAGGATCGTCCGAGACTTTCATAATTGGTTGGCCGTTCACAATTGCTTCGACTTCGCACATGAGAGTGTACAAATGCTCGTCGTCAAGCACTTGCTCTTTCGTAATTGCATTCAGAACCTTCCTTACTGTATGAATACAACATTCCCAAACACCTCCGTGGTGAGATGCTTTGGGTGGGTTGAAAATCCACTTCACATTTCTCTGTATCAAGAACTGGTTGATCTTCTCTTGATTCCACAAGTTGATGGACTCCCGTAACTCTCTATTTCCTCCAACAAAATTCGTCCCGTTATCGGACCGTATCTCTTCAGGCTGACCCTGTCTCACTACGAATCGCCTCAACACATTGATAAACAAGTCAGTGTCCAAATTGTTCTGCAATTTCGATATGTACCACTCGAATCGCCAAACAAGTGAACACAGTACACCATGCCTTTGCACATGACTTCTACCACGTTTCACTGTGAAAGGCCCAAAACAATCTACGCCTATGTTAGTGAAAGGTGTGGTTTTCCAGGCATGACACGATCTTCCGGAAGATCTGCCATCTTTTGCTCGCCAACAGGTGCACGTCTCTTCTTACAATCATGACACCCAGCAGGGTTAGATTTCGTATCAATGTAGTTCCATTGAAATGGTGATGATGCATCGTGAATTGTAGACACGCCATTTGCAACGAAAGTGTGGAATCTTTTGTCTTCATTCGAAATATAACTTAGTACACACATACTGTCCGTCCAGAAGAACAAATTATTGATTGGAATATCGATTTCTTTCCTAATCGTCTTGTCTAACTTCGTTGCCAAGCCAGCTGCCGACAATTCCAACCGTGGAATTGTAACTGATTTCAACGGTGCCAACCTTGATTTGCCCATCACAAACACGCAGTGAACTTCTTCTTTCGCGTCGATCATTCGTAAATACGAAATAGCACCGTAGCCACGCTGTGAAGCATCAGAGAAATGATGTAACTCAGATGAAGCGACTTCGCTGAATCCAGGCGACTTAAAACAGCGTTTAACTTTGAGACCTTCCAACTTAGGTAAGTATTTCAACCATGCTTCCCAACGTTTAATGTAAATATCTGGGATTGGGTTGTCCCATCCGATATTCATTCTGCACAGATCCTGCTGGATTTCTTTGGCAAGCAGAATGAAGGGCGCTGCGAAACCAAGGGGGTCATACACCGAAGACACAACTGACAGAATTCCTCGTCGCGTAAGTGGTTTATCTTTCAATGAGATAGAATATCCAAACGTATCAGCTTCTACGTTCCACAAGACACCGAGAGCACGTTCGGTTGGTAAATCCGCAAAGTGGATCACTTCTTTAAACGACTTTCGATCTTTCTAACTCGGGAACCGACTCGATTACCTTTCTGGAATTTGACAGCCACTTTGTTAGTCGAAATCCACCTTTGGATAGAAGAAGTCGCAATTACTCTGCCGTGTTAATTGCTACCTGTTCGTTTTCGGTTGACTTGAGGCAATCGTCTACGTAGAAGTTGCGCTTGACAGTGTTGATGATTTCAGAATCGAATTCTTTCACGTTGTCATCAGCAGTCCGTCGTAGGGCGAAGTTAGCACAGGTTGGTGAAGATAACCCGCCGAATAGATGAACCAACATCTGATACTCTTCAGGTTCGCGGTTGAGGTCGTTCTCAGGCCACCACAGAAAACGTAAGGCATCGCAATCCTCGGGTCGGACTCGCACTTGGTGGAACATTGCTTCAACATCTGCCATCATCGCCACTGGTCCTTCGTGGAATCGCGTCAAGACTCCAACCAAACTGTTGGTAAGGTCCGGCCCCTGTAACAGTTCCTTGTTTAAAGAGGTACCCCCGCATTCGGCCTGCACAATCGAAAACGACACGAACTTTATCTGGCTTCTGGGGTTGGAAAAAGGGGGTGATGTGGTAGATACCAGGTGGTATTGCTTTGTCGGTGACGTTCTTCCTCGGGTATTTTCCTGGCATAGCCTTTCCGCAGGAGATCTTGCATGAAAGCTGAATATTTTTTAAAAAGGTCGCTATCTTAATCTTTTCTTCAACAACATTAACCTACGTAATGCGATAGACTTGTTCTTTGGCAGAGACGGCTGCGTGTTCTTCCAAGGTAGGGCTAGTTCGTAATGGTCGTCTTTTAATCGAACGCTTTCTTCCATGATCTTCAGCGCTCTTTTGTCCAGGCATGACATCGCAACGTCGTCTTCTACGTCATTAAATTCCCGATTGCAAAATTGCTGGAAGATTTTCTCCAACTCGTTGCTCTGAATGAAGTTGGCCATTGCAGCTTGATGATCGCTACGACCCAGTGGTCTGTTTACTGTCCAACTCCAAACAGTTCTCATAGCGTATGGGCCATCTGAATTACTTTCTACAACCTCTTTAGGTTGTAACGCTTTCGGGACGTCATTACCAATTATGAGGCCGACTTCGCAGTCAACTTCATCTATATCAATGCCTTCGAGATGAGACCAACGTTCTACATCGCTTTTGCGTTGGATATCCTCTCTGGATACTGGCAACTTGGAAACAGAAAATACGTTCAACAGCATTCTGACCATTCAAATCGCTAACTTCAATGCTGATGACCGAGCTCTCTAATTTGCGCCTTTCTTTCTTGCGCCGATCTTGCAGAAACTTCTTTTCTGGCACGAACGCGCCACGTGACCAGGTACGAGGCAATTGTCACATAACTATAAGGAACGCACGAGTTTGAACCGCTCTTCGATCGATCTTTTCTTAAAGTCGTCGCACCGAGAAAGCCAATGACCGCTTCCACAAGATGGACATTTCATTGCTGTACAAGGCGAGTCGTCGTCATTCCCCTTTGTTGCAAAGGCTGATCCTCAGTCGATTTCGTGTTTTTTCCAACAGTGTTCTCGGATTTCGTTTCTCTCGAAATCTTGCCAAAAATTGGGTGATTGCAGGCTCTCACTCGTTTCTCAACAAATAATGTGATGTCCTCGATTGTGATCTCGCGCTGTTTGACTTCGGTGATGTCATCGGCTACGTCACACCATTTTTGTCGCAAACCAAAAAGTAACTTTTCCATAATCTTTTGTAAACTATTGGGATTTTCAATTTTGCTAAGATAGCCAATTTGCTTGAGGGCATTTTTACAAGTTGTTAACATAATGGAAAACTGCTGTAAACTTTCACCGTCCTCAGATTTAATTGATGGGTAATTAGTTACATGCTCAACATATGCTGTGGCAATCTGATAATTTCTTCCGTATTTTGTTTTTAGAAGCCGACGTGCCTCTTTATAACCCTTCTTCAGGACTCATCGATAAACAACTATGCATTAGATCATGTGTATCGTAAAAGATAATATAGTCTAGAACTGTTACTTTGGGTTTTAGACTCTATCAATTGTTCAAAAGCTTGAATGAAAGTGTGGAAATCGATTGGGTTACCATGAAAGATAGGCACCTTAGGTGACGGAAGTGTCAAAGCCAATTGTTTGCTGTTGTTGCTGGATTAATAACTCTACCATTTTTGCGTCTTGAGTGCGCGTTTCTTGCGAAGGGTAGACTGATTGTAATACTGCCAAATTTTCCTCATTTCCTATCGTGTTTAATTGTTCATTTGCGAGGGTGTTGGGCCTATTAAGATCTGTCAAATTCATCTGACACCTAGAAACTTCGTTCCTATTAACGCTCCAATCTTTAGCGTGGGGATTAAGTGGTGTTGATGGTAAAGTCTGAGTGGTTGCTAATTGGTTTACAGCTTCGAGGTTTATTCTAGAATGTTCTTCCCTGGGGTGTCCCATTACTTTAGAGTTAACAATTGAACACGCACGCAATACGTCACGACATTGTTTTGGATTGACATGTTTGGGTTGAGACGCGCCAATTTTGCTGTGAGTACACTCTTCGGCAGCCGCTTGCAGTATTTTAGTTTCGAGTTCTTCTCTTCTTTGTTTAAGACAAAGCTCTTGTTGTTGGAGCTCTTGTTGCCGTTGAAGCCTGATCTCTTCTTCTTCTAGAACTGCCTTTCTTGCAGCAGCAGCAGCTTTTGCGCTAAACGCTGAACCCTTACTGGAGACTCGAGAACTCATTGAACCGATATCAGAGCGTGTAACTTTTGACTTGCGTCAAGACTTTGAACCGCAGTCTGTGCGACTGCCAATATTACTCACAGAATCACTAGGTCTAATTTCATTAAATTGTTCAGTTCTGTTTTTATGACAGAATTCGTTATTTTCAAGCCAAGTTTTTATCCTATCTTTAAATGCAGATGTTCTGCGTACTTCAACACTATAATAAGTTTCCGATTCCTGTACGTCATCTTCATCAGTTAAATTTGCGTGATAATTTCCATGTGCCAAAGTAAATTTTCTTAAAGATTCTTCAAAATCGTAATATACGCTCTGAACACGTTCCAAGTTATTAATATCTTTAACTAACTCGGCGATCTCATTAATTTTACGTGTGACGTTAGCTTTTGCGGTTTTTCTGGCCATTTTACTTTGCTAAATTTGTGTTGCATGATCCTGAACCACGATGTCTGCGCAACAATTTGAATCGAGTTTGTGATCGCTTAACGTCTTTAACGTGTAAAACGCACAGTAACCGTGAACATAAACGTGAAACGTGGTTCGACTAAATAGAATAGATATAGACCTAAATTAATACTAAATCGTATAAACTAACTATATAAAACATAACTACACAATAAACTTATGAACTGCATGCACATGAATTGTCACTTACAGATGTTTTCCCTGTCGCTCTTTTTCGTCTATTCTTTTACCATAAAGTTTTTTTCTTTTACCATATAGTTGCCAACCTTGGGTATATTCCATATATATGAATGAAAAATGCTTTTCATTGAGTGCTTGCAACACACAACAAATGACAGAAGAATGGGACGAGCTTAATATAAACTGACATTTGGAAGCGTTATATGCAATCTACATGCTATTTTGGGCTGTCTATGGTTCCATCCCCAAGACCTGCATTTGCCAACATGGTTTTTTCTTTAATTGTTGTTGGAGGTTTGACCACACTACGACTTGCTAAGCAAACAGACTTGAGAGAACAAGTCTGAACTTCTTGTTTTGCAAACGATTTACCATTTTTTGGTTGCTTCCTTCTCACAGCATAGCCAAAAAGCCTCTTGTGCGCATTCACCTGTGCGTTTCCCACAGCAGTTGATAAAGAAATTCTTGGCAGATTGTTTGTGTCTGGTTGGACCGTAGTTGCCTGTGATACTCCAGGCCGTGTTTGGTGACATTGGTTATGCCTGCTTGCATTCTCTACTTGATTTGCTAAACAAATTTTAAAATAAAAATAGTAAGTATAAATTACATGCAAACCCTCGCCTTGCTGACAAAGCCATTGTATCGGGGACAATTTCAATTTGCCTGATTTTGGTATAAACATATGAATGACAATGACATAGTGTGACACTGCACAGATTGCCTTAATACACTCCCTCAGACATGACATGAAGCCAAGAACTATAACCCTAATAATTGTCAACTCTATGTGCTTTGAATTTGCTATTTTATGGCAAGAAAACTGAAATGAAACCCCATATCGCTATATTATGTAAATCTAAGGTAGTTATTACACTTATTAATATTAATCGATATCAGTAAGCATATACGGCATGTCATGAATATTTGCATATTCAATCTCGAAATATTTTAATTTTAATACTACAGAAATATAACCTCACCTGTTGCCTCAGCCATTCCACAACCTGTAAAAGAGCACTTCTAGCCAAATTTATTTCATCTGGATTCATGCTTTATAGTGTGAATAATCAATGTTAAAAAGTTCTATAATTTTAATACACATGCTCAGAAACGATGAAGCAAATTATGCAAACAAGAAAAACGAGTATAAAAGCAAGGTAAGAATTCCCAGGCTCCTAGTAGCGAATGCCGAGGGGAAGTTTAACGAAGTGTTAATTAACATTGGCGGATATTTAATGTGGTGCTAGATAACCGTCAATATTCACTTCTCAAATTCATGTAGTGATGCATTTTCAACATGTTTTGAAACTTCAACATTGAAAATTACTTCAATATCTAAACTTCAATGTTGTATTTCACTTAAATTTGACATGTTCAATATTGAAATTAACATCAATGAGGGAAACATGTTGAAATCGAAGGAATGTTAAATTAAAGTAGCATGCTGAATTTGATATGTTCAATGCCGAAATTCACTTCAATACGGAAACATGTTGAATTAATATCAACATGAATATTGGCGGAAATCTGACGCCATAGATAAAATACGCAAATTTGAAGATACAGGCTTGCAAATAACACTATAAATAGTGTTTTTGATGGGGATTCGAACAAGACTATTACAAAGATGATGCCAAAAAAAGAATTTGGCAAGAGGTGCTTCAGTTATAATGGTGCCTTGCATTGGAATAATCTTCCCCACGAGGCAAAAATTGCTGAATCCTTAAGCTCTTTCAAATCGATATTAAAACAAAGAATGAGTTGAAATTTGCTTGTGTGTAATTGTTGTGCAGCTAACATCACTTGTATTTTTTGTTATATTTTTGTATTTCTTGTAAATAGTTAATTTCTTGTAGATAGGTATTTTATGCCCATCATGGAAACCAGTCTTCCAACGGCTGTTGAAGCTAGTGTGGTTTATTTAAATAAAGTTATGTATGTATGTTCAAAGGGGCCGAAGTTATTTTCAGTGAAAGGAATGGCTAGTTGTAACTGCTATCACATGGTGTGTGCATTGCGAACTTTAGATCATGTGACTGTCCTCAAGGTCTAGATATATTTACTCAGAACAAGAAGACATTTTATATTTATGAAGACTTTAAAATGTGATTTATATCAGGATATAAAGGATGTAAGAAATCTACGGTTTGCTCGGAACCGCTGTTTACCTTTTCTTTTACTTTCTATTAAAGTTACAAGTTAAAACGTTTTTGTGGGCATCTTATTTGTGTGAAACGACAAGAACATTTATAATAAACAACGAAGGCACATTCAAAATATGTGTTATTTTGAAAACTGAGAAAGAACCCAAGCGAAATTTCGACTGAAATATAAGAAAATGGCTTCAGAGACACAAAACAATGAACTAGAAACACAACTGGTAAAGGACGAAGCTCCATTGGAATTAAAAGACGGGTTAGGAACAAGTCTGATACCCAAGAGGGCCAATGGAGTGTTGGTAGTTTGGAGTCACAAGTACAACAAGCTCGACCTTGCACAAGAAAGGCTGTCTCAGGGAGCCTGGAGAACCTCAGAAAGAGGGTTCAAATAGATCTTGTCTATCTCGACTTCGCAAAAGCCTTTGATAGAGTTAATCATCGACTGATGGTCAATACGTTGAAGAATTTTGGAATCAGCGGAACTCTGTTGAATTGGTTTGAAGACTACCTCTCAAATCGCCATCAAAGAGTAACCGTGTTTGGAAAGACCTCTCATCCACTCCCCGTACTTTATAGCATACCACAGGGTTCAATACTTGGACCTTTGTTGTTTCTTCTCTACGTGAACGACCTTCCTCAAGCAACATCTTCATCTTCTATAGCAATGTACACTGATAATACTAAATCAGGGCGTTAGCCAGAAGTAAAAAAAATCTGTGTTTACCTGAAATTGGGAAATTTATTTTTTGGGCGACCTCCCCCCCCCCCTGACTGTAGCTAACACCCTGTAAATGTTATCGTACAGTCAGAACTTTACAAGACGCTCAGTATCTCCAAAACGATCTGGATGGTGTTAATGAATGGTGCCAAGAATGGCGAATGGACGTAAATAAATCTAAATGTGAAGTTCTCTCTGTGACTAGAAATGTTAAGCCAGTAAAGTTCAGCTACCTCCTTAAGGACATCCCAATCAGCAAAACAAATGTTCAGAAAGATCTCGGTGTTGTGATCTCATCCGACTTGAAATGGAACCAGCATGTGTCTACGGTCTCTGCCAAAGCTAACAAAATGCTTGGATACATCAAAAGATCTTCATTGGACATCCGGAATGAGAAAACTCGCCTTGCTCTTTACAAGACCATGGTAAGAAGTCAGTTGGCATATTGTACACAGGTCTGGTCACCACAATCAGTATCACTGATACTTCAAATTGAAAACGTTCAACGCCGCTCAACCAGATATATTCTATCATTACCATTCATGTCGGGAATATCATACAAAGAGAGACTCATAAAAACTGGTCTGTTACCACTGTCATACTAGCATGAATATCTTGATATCGTTTATCTGTACAAAATGCTTCTTTCATCCCAGGACTGGAACATCCAAATAAAGACAACTTGTCACGTGACCAGGAAAAACAGTGGAACAGCTCAAATTACATTACATATTCCCCATGCAAATACATTAACATTTCAAAACAGGTTTTTTTGTAGATCTTCTAGGACATTTAACTGTTTACCATCAGTTTTACATCAATCAAATCTCTCTATTAATCAATTTAAATGTAACCTCTTTAATCACTATCAGAAAATGTCAGAAGAAATCTATGACATTGGTGTGCCACAAACTTTCAAAACAATCTGTGTTAAATGTCATTCATGTCGTCCCTTGTCTAGTCTCTCTGTTAAATCATGTTGTTAATAATTATCACTTATATGTATTCTGTATAAATAGTTAAGGTTACCTGTAAAGGAGTGTTCTGCTCTGTGGGTATAACCTGTCATTTATTTGACAAAGATTGTAAAATAAAGAAATGAAATCGTGCAGGTGAGGCTGGAAAGCCAGAATTAGTCGTATAGACCAATTATTGCTAGAACAATGTACTGACATAGTGAAATTAACAGCCAGCAAGGATGGTTTGAACATGGATATGGATAATCTAAAATGCTTTCATAATGAAATATCTGATTTATTAATGCTTAATTCAGATAATGAATTTCCTAATGAAGACCACAAGTATTTTGATTGTATTTGTGATAAATACTTAGCTGTTGTGCTGATGTTAAGACAAAAATTAATGATTTAACACACAAAAGATTTGAAAAGGTGTCACAAAGGTCTCACAAATCTAGTGCAAAGAGCTCTATCTCTAAGTTATCCAAAGTCTCTTCAATATCATCGAGACAAGCTGCAGCAAATGCCGCAGGACTTAAGCAAAGGATGACTAGCCTGATAAAGCAGCAAGAATTGGAGAGAGAGAGAGAAGAATTACAACTTCTTCAAAGGGAGTTGGAACGACAAGGAGACCAAGAAAGGCTACAAGGTGAGATTAACGCTGTTGTAGCAATACATGATACACTTGTAGAAGACACAAAGTTACCTAGCAACAATCACCCAAGTATACCCCACATATCCATGATTACCCAAGTATATCCCCACCTATCCATAATTACCCAAGTATATCCCCACCTATCCACAATCACCCAAGTATACCCCATCTAACTATGATCACCAGAGTATACCCACACATACACATGATCACACGATGGTCGCTTGCTATGCAGTTTGCTCCCGCATTCAAATTTCGCACATATATTGGTTTCTGGTTTCCTAGCTGTGAATTATGGTATGGTTCAAATACTGTGTCTTTGGCGTTCTTGTTTGCGTTTATTTTCTAACATTTTAAAACGTTACTTACTCAATTTGTATTACATCGAACCGTTTATTAGTTTGTCTGCACAAATGAGCTATATGGTAATTTGAAAACGGCAAAATGTTGGTGTTGTTGTAGCCATGTATTTTCACCTTTTGAGTGATGAGAATCATGCCGAGATGGACAAATTGTACTGTCTAGGGGTCCCACAGCATCACATGTGCATGACCTACAATCCCCCCTTGAAAACCCTACTGAATTTGCAGTATTGCCGGACTTATTAACAGAAATAGCTAAGGATTCTGCATTTTTCCTTGTTTTTTCAAATATTTTTGTTGAAACTTGATTTGGGAGAGACTTTTCCAGGCAAAGTTGAAGAATAGCATTTATTTAACAAGTCTAAATGGATAGTAGTGCAGAAGACAGGTGTGGGAAAAAATCTCTTTAACGAGCTCATTTGCATTTTATATGCATTTGTGATGCGCCATGTTGTTGCTTCACTTCCAGCTGTGTTGTCTTTGTAGCTCGAGAGATTATTGCCGTAAAGTCATCCAGGACATCCAGGAGAATGCAACAAGCAGAGACCACTACCCAATAGTTTTTGGGAAGAAGTTTTGTTCTTTAAGCTCAAGGAGATCTGTCACGCAAGTCATGCAAGGTTCATATTGTTTACCTCCCCTCATGCTGTGTGTCTTCTTGAGTTAGCTGGTTTCTTTATTTTGATAAAAGCTTATCGTGTTCCGTACACAAGTTTTATTTACATTAATATAACTACAGAAGACTGAGTTATAGTTTATAAAAGAAATCAGTTGCACATGCCTTTATTTAAATGGTGATCGGGAGCCGTTTCCTCGCTGAAGACAACATGCCTTGGTAATCTGATATATAGTGGCAGATGTACTAGGTCTATGATCCTCACAGGAAAACCATCATGAAAAAAGTTTGGAATTGTAACCAAATGATAAAATTAAGTGTGTGCAAACACATGAAATCTGTTTCAGGGAAAGCTGCGTATCTTAAGTAATTTAAATCACTAGTATAGTGTATGTTGCTATTATTTTATGTGGTTACATATCTTGCGCGGTATAAATTATAAACTGTAGTATACTTGGCATGTATCATTGCACTGTAGCTAAATCTGCTATATATATTGTCATCTATACAATGAAGTATGTGTTTATATATCTCAAAAATACATCATTCACAAAATGAAAGCATTTTATAATAGAACATATTCATCAAACAAATTCTTGCGTGATCTATAGACTATAGCTAGATTTGTTGTCACCAACCAAAACAGTCGGTATGTTTCTCTGTCGGTATATTTCTTTAAATAGATATATACACTGTATTAACACAGCATCAGACAATTTTCCCCAAATTACACCCACATATACTGATAAGAAACACAAATTTAGGTGAAAAGAGGAACAGTTTGTACATGGGTTTGCATAATATGAAGGATAAAAAATATAGGGGCGAATTTGATATATCATCTGCGGCGCAGGCTAGAGTTATTCTATGGCAGTTAATATAGTTCTGATTGTTATTTGACAGCTAAATAAATTTATTGCAATCGTACCATTTCAAAATTGAAGTTTATAAACCAGTTAAAACACACCCAACAAAATTGTTCTAACAGTAAGAAATTTTAAGCCAAATACATTACATGACCTTTCACGATGGCTGGTTGCTATGCAGTTTGCTCCCGGAGTCAAATTGCCCGAGTACATTGGTTTCCGGTTTCCTAGCTGTAAATTATGGCGCGGTTCAAATACTGCGTCTTTGGCGCTCCTGTTTGCGTTTATTTTTCAACGTTTTAAAACGATACTTGCTCAATCTGTACTACATCGAACCGTCTATTAGCTCGTGTGCACAAAAAACCTATACGGTTATTTGAAAACGGTAAAATGTTGGTGTTGTTGTGGCCATGTATTTTCGCCTTTTGAGCGATGAGAATCATGCCGAGAAGGACAAATTGTACTGTCTAGGGGTCCCACAGCATCGCACGTGCATGGCCTACAATCCCCCCTTGAAAACCCTCCTGGGTTCGGAGTATTGCCGGAATTATTAGCAGAAATAGCTAAGAATTCGGCATTTTTCCTTGTTTTTTTTTAAATATTTTTGTTGAAACTTGATTTCGGAGAAACTTTTCAAGGCAAAGTTGAAGAATAGCATTTATTTAACAAGTCTAAATGGATAGCAGTGCCGGAGAAAGGTGTGGGGAAAAGTCTCTTTGACGAACGCATTTGCATTTTATACGCGTTCATGCTGCGCCATGTTGCTTCACTTGCCGCTGTGTTGCCTTTTTAGTTCGATAGATTATTGCCATAAAAGTCAAACATGTGATCGAAATAAAGGACATCCAGGAGAGTGCAACACACAGAGACCACTACCCGATAGTTTTGGGGGGAAAGTTCTGTTCTTTAGCTCATAGAAGCCAAGGAGATCTGTCATGCAAGTCACGCGAGGTTCATATTTGTTTACTTCACCTCATGCTGTGCGTCTTGAGTTAGCTGGTTTCTTGACTTCGATAAAAGCTTATTGTGTGCCTTACGCAAGTTTTATTTACATTAATATAACTACAGAAGACCGAGTTATAGTTTACAAAAGAAATCAGTTGCACATGCCTTTATTTAAGCGGAGATGAGGGAGCCGTTTTCTCGCTATTAAAGACAACATGCCTTGGTAATCTGATATATAGTGGTAGATGTACTATGATCTCACGGAAAACCATCATGAAAAACATTTGGAATTGTAACTAAATGATAAAATTAAGTGTCCGTAAAGATATGAAATCTGTTTCAGGGAAAGCTGCGTATCTTAAGGAATTTAAATCACTAGTATACTGTATGTTACTATTATTTTATGCGGTTACGGATCTTGCGCAGTATAAATAATAAACTGTAGTAGGCTGTAGTATACTTCGCAGGTATGATTGCACTGTAGCTAAATCTGCTATATATATTGTCAAATGGAACTATGTGTTTATATATGAATATCTCAAAAATACATCGTACACAAATATAATATGAAAGCATTTTATAATAGAACATATTCAACAAACAAATATTCTTGCGAGAACTATAGTATAGCTAGGTTTTTTGACACGACTAACCAAAACAGTCAATATGTTTCTCTGTCCGGCTGTTGATATATTACTTTAAATCAATATATGTTATGTATTAGCAGCATCAGATAATTTCCCCAAAATTACCTGCATATACTGATGAAGAAACACGAGTTAGGCGAAAAGAGGAACAGTTTGTACATTGGTTTGCGTTCCGTATTATGAAATATAAACTATACGGGAGCAAATATGATATATCGTCTGCGGCGCAGGCTAGAGGTATTCGACGGCAGTTAATAGTTCCGACCGGTTATTTGACAGCTAAATAAAATTATCACAATTGGTTCCATTTAAATATGGAAGTTTACAAATCAGTTAAAATATACCAACAAATTTGTTTTAACTGCAAGAAATTTTAAGCCAAATACATGACCTTTCCGATTATAAGGTTAATAAACAACGCCATTTCGCATTCACACCAACACCGCTGGAAAAAACGAAGCCTGTGCTTCCAGGAGCAAAATGCATAGCAACCAACCACCGTGTTTCCGATTATAAAGTAAAACGACACCATTTTGCATTCACACCAACACTGCTGGAAAAAACAAAGCCTGCGCTTCCTGGAGCAAAACGCATAGCAACCGACCACCGTGTCACCCAAGTGTATTTCCATCTATACATGATCACCCAAGTATACCCCCACCTATCCACAATCACCCAAGTATATTCCCACCTATCCATGATCACCCAAGTATACCCCCATCTAACCATGATCACCTGAGTATACCCACACATACCCATGATATCACCCAAGTATACCCCCATCTAACCATGATCACCTGAGTATACCCACACATACCCATGATTACCCAAGTATATCCCCACCTAACATGATTACCCAAGTATATCCACACATATCCATGATTACCCAAGTATATCCCCACCTATCCACAATCACCCGAGTACATCTCCACCTGGCAAAAATTACTCAGGTACACCCCTACCCTACACACCCTCAACCAGCAAACCAATCAAGAATTATGAACTTTTTCTATGTTGGTGTAGTGTACTCAGGTGAATATGATATTTGTGGTGTTACTCTGAGTGTATATCCACACCGGGCGAGCTTGAAAAATATGCCAGGCCACGGTGGGATTCGAACCTACGACCTTTGGAATCTAGAACAGAATCTGTTCCGAAATATCACTTACTCGAACCGTCCTGGCCGCGTAGCTCAGTTGGAAGAGCATTGCGCTAGTATTCCAAAGGTCGTAGGTTCAAATCCCACTGTGGCCTGGCATATTTTTCAAGCTCATCCGGTGTGGATATACACTCAGAGTAACACCACAAATATCAATCAAGAATTGTTACCAATCAATCCAAATACTATACAGCCGAGTACTAGTTATCAAGACCCAAGTATCAGTCAAACAAGTCAAGTTAATACTAAAGAAAATACAAACGTTGGTAGTGTTGCCAGACAGTTAGACCCAAAAATCCCTGCATTTCAACCCGCATCTATGTCTGCATCTCAGCTAACCCAACCTGTCCCTCATTCCACTGATGTTATGGGACAGAATGAAAGAGACGGTGTAGAGATTCAAGTACAGCAAATAGAACTGATAAAGAGAATGTCACTTTGTGCCCCTAAACCACCAGTATTTAGTGGGAACATCCTTGAGTTAACTAAATGAGTCTCTCTGCATTTGATGTCTTAATTGAAGAAGCTATGAAGCCAGGCCACAAACTGTATTACCTCAGAGAATACACTTCAGGATCCGCGCAGAAGATGATAAACGAATTGTTGGGTCTTCAACCGAAGATGCCTACAAGCACTATGAAACCATGAAAAACATAAAAAATTAGGCTATTTAAGAAAAATTTAAGCGCCTGCCTTGCATGGTCTTTCATGTACTTTTAAGTTTGTAAAGACCTATTAAATACTTGCATAATTTCGAACGTTCATATTTCGGGAAACACTGCTAAGACTTACAGTACATGTAAGATGTCTAAATCTACGCCATATCCCTTACAAACCCTAACGACAATTCGCTGAAATATACAAGTTAGCCTGATATGTCATTAAGCAAACAAACGCTGGAGTTAATATTTGATATGCCGATTTTCTCTAATTTTAGACACATCCCAAAATATGCTCCCGATTTTGAACATTAATATCTCCGTGAATTTTTACGTAAAATACAACTGTAATATATCAAAATCTAAGTTAGTCCTTCCTCTATTGAATGCAAGTTATTTCTGTTTGATAGCTTTACTTGTTTAGAAATTATTATAAATCAAACCGGAGTACCTTTTTTTGGGACACCTGGTATATGATCTTGTTTGACATTCAAAGGCCCATAAATCGCTACAAGGTTGATAATGACTATAACTATCAGGGGCACACATTAGGGGCAGGGGTGTGACACCCCCCCAGCTTTTCAAAATCGGTCTAAAGTCGTTCCCGAAAAATGCATATCAGATAACCAGTTCAGTCTCCGAACATCCGATATACTAGGTAGATGTATTTATGTGATAAAGATAAATTAAAGTTGTTCATCGTTTTTTATAATGTGGACGGTGTTCAAGCTTGGCACAAAATGAAAAGTCATGGTAAAGGAAATGCCGGGAAATTATCTCAGATTTTGCAAGCTCCGGCCATAAAGCAGCTCTAAATGCATTCTCGGCTTTCCAGAACATGTCCAGCCACCTTGATTTGTTACTTGATAAAGAACGAAGGAAAGTTTTGATTGAAGAAGAAGCAGAGTTACAACACAATTGTGAAGCCATTAATACACTTTTGGACATAACACAAACTCTTGCACGTCAAGGAATATCTTTTCGTGGTTCTTCCTCAGACAGAGATGGAAATTTTTAGCAAATTACTTCTTTGGTAGCCAGACACTCGCCTTCCTTTAAGAGATGGTTGGATGATGCCCCCAAGCGACTACATAGAGTCGATTGCCTTAGTTCCAGGTCTCAAAACAAATTTCTTCACTTATTAGCAGAAGATGTTACACACAGAGTCACTGCCAAAGTCAATCAAGCTGGAATGTTTTCCGTCATAGCTGATACAACACCCGATGTGTCCCACATTGATCAACTTTCTGTGGTCGCACAATATTTAAATGCCAAGGGAAATCCACAAGAATCCATGATTAAGGTAATCCATGATAAAATGGGTGATGGTCATGCTCAAGGAATTATTTCTTCACTGAATGAAAAGAAAGAAAAATTTCGACACTGCTGACATAGTTTTCCAAGTTTTCCACGTCTTCCATGTCTGGTATCTACAAGGGCTGTCAAGCAAAGTTAAAAGAATATCTTGGAAAGGAAGTTTATTATCATGTTGATGTTCATGAGAAATGTCATGATGAAGACGAAGATTTTGACGAAAGAAGTCCAGAGTGTAGATATAAACATCATTGATACCCTTGAGGCTGCTAAAGCTACTATTGCCACACTGCGCCACCCTACACGATGACGAAACCAATTTCGACAATCAAATTGAAGCAGCTGTTATCTTTTCTGCACAATATGAAATAGATGCTGAAGACGAGAACCAGTGAAATCATTGTCCATGATGCAGGCTGAGAAGATTTGATGAAAGACCAGAAACAACTGCAAACCTTACTTTCACGAATCTCTAAGAAAAGAATTCATTGAAGATCTGGACGTCCACATCCATAATCTAACTGCTAACGTCAAAGCTGCTTGTGACATTCTCACACACTCTTCTTCCACCATTCAACAAAGAGCCAGAAGAGCTCGAGGCCCTAGTAAAGATGCTTCCTGAAACCCTGCAGCCTGACATAAGTGCCCTAAATGTTGAACTCACAATGTTTAGGCATCACTGCCAAGCAAACAAGCCAGACGTCAAATCGCTCCCAGAGGCAGCACATTGTGCCAAATCGTTGTTAAATTCTATTTTTCCGCTGACAAACAGATGTTATCGCTTGATCTTAACAGCACCCATTAAGTCAGCCTCTAGTGAACACAGGTTCTCAAAGCTTACAATGATTAAGACTGTTCTGCGTTCAGTAATGAAACAAGAGAGACGTAAAAGTTTGATGATGCTTGCATGCAAAACTGGCATTATAGACTGAATTAATCTGGATGAAATTGTGGATGTTGGGCAAAAACACGACGTTTGATAAGTTTTGGATAATATTACAAATATAGGAAGTGTTTCTTCAATGAAATTTTAGAATTAAAAACCAGTAACGATGAATCGATGATTCTATAAACTGTATATAGTTTACTAATTCTACTAAAATGTTTATCTAAATGGTTTGAACTTATAAGGTTTTTATCTTAGAAGCTATAAAAATAAAAAGCCTTACAAAAGTAGATAGTCTACATTTCATATCTTCTTGATGTGTCTTTTTCTGATTGCATGTACAAATTGGAGGAATCCCAGCTCCAATGCGTTTATTAATCATTTTTAGATTGTAGTCTTTAAACAGTAACTTCAACCTCATTCCCAGGGCTTTTGTGAACTAGCAGTTTTTTAGAATATGATGGAGCAGGCCGGTAGGAATAAGAGGATAATGAACCATGAAAGTCGGTCCCCAAGAATTTGCCCCTCCCCAGAAATTTTTGGAATGTGCGCCCCTGATAACTATAGTGAGGAATTAGTTGAATCTCTTATTTCTGAATCAAATGCTGGTATTTCTGTCTTCATAGCATGCACTGAACCGAAGATATGAAAATACAAAGCCGTCAACTACTAGAGGTTGACGAGACTGGCTTGTGATGTGAAAGAAGATGATCCAATACTATAATACTTTTTGTTTGTGGAAACACCACGTAAAGCCTGGATCCATAAGCCCGGATCCATAAGCCCGAATCTTCACCAGTGCTAATAATATGTGGCTTGTTCAATTCACACGCCTCTTTTTATATGAAAAATCGTACAAAAAAGTGATGCAATTACTGTTAAGCATAATTGATTGTGGAAAAATAATCGATTGATCGATTCATCAGGGGCAGCTCTATTAATATATAATATTTAATATAAAAACAAAAAGATATATTTACATATTCTTTTTTGAATACAATTCAGGACCAAGCTTAAGTGTTTTTCGATCTGCCTTAAGTGTTGATTGTTTTGTCCTGCAAACATCTCCAGTATTCATAGTCTTGCCTTTCGTATTGATGGTATTTGAATTATTGATAGTATTTTTATTATTAACCATAGCCATAGGTACAGGAGCTGACTTCCTGGCACATGTAACACTGCTGTTGTCTTGAGAAATAATGGAATAGGTCCATTCTCCCCATATCAGCCTTTTGGTGGAAACAATTTACTATCACACACTCAAACTCTTCTTTTTCTACCCTCATCTGTGCAAAATGTCAAAGCACTTCCATTGCTGAAATTAGCCTTCACACTGCTCAACAGCAGAGTATCATCAGCTTCTAATTCAATGTCAATTTCATTGCCAAAACATGAAACACTTACATACTCTATTTATAAAAATACAACGAACACACATTCAGTCACTATCAATTCATGTATTCAAAATCAAATAGAGACAAGGAAATATACAAAGTATGTTTCATAATACAAATAAAAAATAGAGATAAAAAAGAAACGAAAGATAACACTTACAAAAACTATATTTTAATCTTTATGAAATATAATAGCCTTTGCATTCAGTTTGGTGCTGAGGTGTTGGGGTTCTAGCAGTGCGTTATTTCAGTGGTTTTGGTTTTTTTGGGACACCCTGTACAGTATACTGTGTCTGTGAATTAAAAGGTCTATTTTAGGAAGAGGAAGGGCACCATGCAATGGACTTTTACGTCCAGTTTGTGCCTTGTCCTTTTGAGTACAGCTCTTTCTTTTTTTTAATTGTATGTTAGATGAACATTTGTTGAATAAATTTGTACTAAATAAAGTTTAACAAACAAACAAACTTTTTTAATTGTATGTTAGATGAACATTTGTTGAATAAATTTGTACTAAATAAAGTTTAACTTAACAAACAAACAAACAAACAAACAAACAAACAAACAAACAAACAAACAAACAAACAAACAAACAAACAAACAAACAAACAAACAAACAAAGGATTTAGGAACAAGATACATTTTATAATATGAAAGGCATTATTAAAAGCAAAATATATAAATTATATAAATTTATTAATATATTAAACATTTATTCAAAATTAAACAAAAGACAGGGAATATATGCAGGAAACATTTTAATTAAATATATAGTACTGTATATACTATATTTTATATTAAATATAAAAAGCAATGAATGCACCCTGTAGGTAATATATTTAAAACACGAGTAGGATGTGTTTTATCAGATATAAAACGTGAGACGCGACCAAGCATTTTATGTCTGATAAAACACGACACCGAGTGTTTTGAATAGCTTAAAATATGACTACAAAAGAATACTAATTAGGATGAACCATTATATAATCATGCTAATTAGGATGAACAATTATATAATGCCACATACTTTATCAAATATAAAGTGACTCCACTTGACATATTATGGCTGACATGATTTGCCACAAGGTTTATGAATTATTGAGTATTTTAAGCTTAAATAGTACATACAAATAAAAATTGCAGGAAGAGAATGAAGCATATAATATATAATCTTTTTCTACAATGAATAATCTATAAATACCCACCTTCAAACTGGACATCCACCATTGTAAATCATGAGGTTAAAGTGTTGATCCCAGTCTCTCTTGTTTTTTTGTGTTGACAACAGTGACTTATGTCCCCACCCTATGGGGCACATAGAAATGTCTAAACCCCATTCACTCCCCACATATGCCCCATGTTTCTCTGTGGTGGAGGGGGCTGTGGTGGGGGGATTCCCAATTACAAGTGCATAAATGAATATCGATATCATATAAATGCCATGCACAATATGTACTATAAATATTGTGAATGCTTCATGGGGAAAAGCACCAAATTATTACTCAAAATAAAGCAAATTTTAGTAGTTTTATTGTCCCCGAGCCAACGGCGCAAAGCGCCGTGTAAGGGTGCCAATTCCCCCCGGCTATTTACACCCGGAGAAAGGAACGCACTAGCGAAGTCTAAAGTTCATCAAATATTGTGGGCGCATGGCTCACCGTTCATGGGTGGTCATCCCACTGATCTCAAAATATGTAGCGGACTGTCGTGAATAGTGAACACTGATTGGTCAAATTTGAAATTTGCATTGTAACTACTGCATTGACGACAGCAAAATAACAATCAATTTCTTCAATTTTCTTGCAAGTTGTATTTTTGCAAGATTTTGTAAATTTCAAAACCTTTCTGAGAGCCAAAAAAACGTCTAAAAACGTCTAAAAGAATAGAGCAAAGTCGCCGACGTTAATGAAGGTAAGTTTGTTTTAAATATTGATGTATTGTTTGTTTTATAATTGATATATTTATAACTGATAGTGGTGGGCAATACTGCGAATATCGAACTGATACTATCATTGCGTATATATAAAGTGAGCAAAGACAGCATATAATTTCAGTGTAGTTTTATTAATTACCCTTTCTTTTGTATATTAAAGTATTTAAATAAAGAGGAAACCAAAGTTATTTTCATGCGAGAATTTGAAATCAGTTTATTTCAAACTCTGTCAATGTTTACCGATAATTCGATAAAATACCGGTTAGTTTTAAGAAGATTTTAAAACGTTTTGCGAAGCGTTTGTGGTTGAATTTTACATTAAATTGAAGCTTATGTTACCTATAATAACATACCTGACATATATATGTTTGGGAAATTGATAATTTTGTTATTAAAAGTGATAATTTGGGGGGATTTTTCAATTTTAAAACTATATTCTTAAAATTATTGTGTTACCATGACAACTACTTTCAATTCTTCATATTCAGAAAACATAATGTTTTGTCAGTAAGGCGAGGGTTTCTGCATGCATGTATTTTCTAGTACAATTTTATGATTCAAGAATTACTAAGAAAAATCTTTGTTATTCTCAGATACAATTGTGAGGTATCTGATGGCTTTTACCATGAAGAATCCTCAGATTCGGATTACATTCCCAATAACATGGACTGTACTCCCAACCGTAAACGGGTGCAGAGTGATAGCCAGAGCAATGACGAAGAATCTACAAGTACTAGCCAAGCAAGTAGACAAGGTGATTGTGGTAGAGGAAGGCATAGCGATAGAGGTCATGGTAGAGGAAGGGCTCGTGGAAGTCGCGGTGTAGGCGGGTAAAGGGGACGTAGCAGAGTGAATGTGGTTCGCGGGGGGACGGTGAAGGAGTAGTGGGGCTGGTCAGGTAGTCCAGGGAAGTGGTCAAGTTGCATGTTCAAAAAAGTCTTATAATGATCGAGACTCTGGACCTTTCCAACCTGCTGGACTTCCAGGTTTGCATCTTGACATGAGAGAAACGCAAGGTGCTATGACAAAAGCTGTGGATTTCTTTCAACTATTTTTCACCATAGAATTGTTGGACGAAATATGCAACCACAGTAATACATATGGTTCGATGAATGTGGGTAATAAACCGATGTATGGTAATTCTGACGGTACGTGGGAAGAAATGTCTCCTGACAAATTGAAAAGGCTCATTTGTTTGATCATCTATTTTGGTATAACAAACAGTGGCGTAGCTGGCTGAAAAAAATCGTCCCGCCAAAGGCGGACCCCTCGCACCACAGGTGCGACCTTCCTAGAGGGGTTGGGGGCATGCCCTCCCGAGAAAATTTGGAATCTAGAACCTCGGAAATGGCATTTCCTGCGATTTCGAGGGTGGAAGGATGCCACTAAGCAAAGTTTCTATACACCTCTAACACGAGTATTTTCCCTTCGTAAAATACAAAAAATGCCATATGGCCGAGAGAAGATCTGTGTGAGCTCAGAGAAGTGCTGTGCTAGGCAAAAAATATTGCCCTCTTCACTGAGTCTGCAGCACGACGAATAATTAATCACTGCATTTCGTATAATGTCTCAAGCACCGCGTATGATGTTGAAACCACAGCAAGTAGTTGCAGCAATGCGATAATGATAAAACCACTGCGTACAATGCTGAAGGTACTGCGTATAACGTTATACCGACCGCGTATAATGTCTCAAGCACCGCATATAATGCTAAAAGCACCTCGTAAAGGCTCGTAACGTTATACCGACCGCGTATAACGTCTCAAGCACCGCGTATAAATGTCTCAAGCACCGCGTATATGCTAAAAGCACCTCGTAAAGGCTCGTATGTCTCAAGCACCGCGTATATTATTAAATAAATGTCTCAAGCACCGCGTATAATGTTAAAGTCACCTCGTACAATGTTGCGTGTAGCCCATATATGTCAAAATCATAACGATAAAAGCACCACATTTATAATGCTAAAAGCAACGAATGAAATGAAATTCCGCTGTGGCTTTCCATAAAATTCGTCACGCTCGTTGAAGCTATTGTATACAAATCACAAAAGCAATATCAAATATGATATGAATAGTAATATGATGACCTACCACCGTCTCAGTCGTGAATACTCGCGCAGAAAGCTTCGTCAGCATGAATATTAACAACCTCCGCCTTCATAAAATAGCGGGACTTCGACATTAAAAACAACCGTTCTGGGCATGCGCTGCGCCAATTATCCAACCAGAAACCAGAATTTCTTGTATAAGATAGTATTGCATATCCCGCCACATGAAAATCAGCGGAACACGAGATTCACGAATAGCGTGAGTAAGCAATAAATTGCGTGGAAATTAGCTAATTCTGCAGGGTATGTCAGTTACTAGACAACAAAGAGGTCAAAGAGCAGACAGCAATATTGCGTAAACTTTAAATAAATGACAAATGAAAGCACTGAAAATGACCATAATTAGTATTTAAATTTTCAGAATAAGCAAAGCTGTGATTTTGGCTTCACTATAAAACATTTAATTACACATTTTTTTGGAAATTGTTAGTCCCGGCCGGCGGGACAGCGGGACCGCTAGCTACGCCACTGATAACAAATGTAATACATATGGTTGGCTGAATGTGGGTAATAAATCGATGTATGGTAATTCTGAAGGTGCGTGGGAAGAAATGTCTCTTGACGAATTGAAAAGGCTCATTTGTTTGATAATTTATTTTGGTCTAACAAATGTTGGGACATTTGAGCGTTACTGGAGTACAAAGACATTGTACTATGGGATTTGGGCATGAAAGTTCATGTCAAAGAATCAGTTAGAAGCTCTCATGGCAATGTTACATGTTGTCGATCTCAGTTCAGAAGAGCAGGGTGATAAACTGTGCAAAGTCAGAGGATTGTTAGATGCATTCACTTCAAAGTGCTGAGATTTGTATCAGCCTTTTCAGAATGTCAGTGTGGATGAAAGAATGGTGAAATCAAAGAACAGGTCAGGTATCAGATAATATATAAAGATGAAACCCACTGAGTGGGCGATAGAACCTTGGCTCTTAGCTGACAGTTCAATCCACCAACTAAAAATGGTCTTTGCTATGATGTTGTAATGCGACTTGTGTGACGATTGCTAAACCAAGGGTATTGTGTGTTCTTTGCCAATTTCTACACTTCAGTCAAGTTGGTAAAAGATTTATTTCAGAACAGGACACCATCATGTGGAACTGTAGCTGAAAACAGAGTGGACTTTCCAAAGAACATGAAGGGAAAAAAGAGTTCGGCAAAAAAGGCTAAGAGAGGTGATATGAGACAGGAAAATATGATTAAACAAAGCAGTGTCTACTCTTTCCAGCATAGATTCGGCAAATGATTTCCCGATGGTGAAAAGGAAAGTAAAGGTAAACAATGTTTGGGACAAAGTTGATATCAAATGTCCAAAAGCTATTGAAACCTATAACAAGTATGTGAATGCGGTTGATTGTTGTGATCAAATATGATCAAAGAACAAGACATTGAAAAAGTGCATGGTGGAAAACACTGTTTTTTTCCATATGATTGATATTGCAGTTGTAAATAGTTTTATACTGTTTCAACTATACCGCAATCACCATATTGATGATGAGGATACTCCATCATTGAGTTCAAAGAGCTTGTAAGGCAGTTACTGGGCTGAAAGAATATTATGAGCCACCAGTGTATTTGTCCACCAAAGAAACCACGGTATGAACATGAGACAGAGCACCTACCAAAGTATTCGGAAACCAAGAGGAACTGTAGAGTTTGTTACAAACAATTGAAAAAGTAGTTAAAGTTTGACATACTGAGTGCACCCCAATGCCAAGTCTATTTGCACTCTACCAAAGACAAAGACCTCTTTGGAATCTGGCACACTAAAGCACACTGTTGTGGTGACCCTGTCCTAGTTTGCAAAGCTAAATGAATAAATTACCATATGAACAATTGAACTAATAAGTAATATAAATAATAACCAACAAGTAATATAAGTATATTACTCTTAAATAGTCCTTAAATACAGCAAATTCAAAAAAGTGTGTCCTTCGAAAATCTCAAACCATAAACTCTAAGCATGCAAAGAGTGATGGGTAACTTCTTTTTACGGCTTTTGATTGGGAAATAATTCTAGTACACTGCTAGTTTTACATCTTAAGTCCTTATTATGTGTCTTGCAATATTTACAATGCAAAATTTGCATGTCATCACAATTTGCATGCTCAGAGTTTCATGTTTGAGATTTTCGAAGGGCAACCATTTTTGAAACAGCTGTATGCAATTAGCTTCTAGCTTACTACTGCATACATCTTCAGCAGTTTTTTGTACTTGGACACAAGTTTGTCGGTTAACCGAGTCAAATCCGAGTCTGAGTCAAATCCGAGCCCGTTTCAAATGTCCGAGTCATTGTTTAATCAATGGTCTTTGCAGTTGTCGATAAAATGATTTAGTACCCTAACCCAAAACCTACTCAACCCTATTCAACTGTGAATTTTCTTCACTTTCGTCCTTTTTTTTACGCGACTTGGGCATTTGACTCGGCCTCAGGACTGACTTGGACTCGGATTTGACTCGGTAAATGGATTTACTCACTTGGACACAGTCATGCCTTCTGTTCTCAGTATCTGTTTAGTGAGATATTTGTACACATCAAAATTGATAATTGATGGAGCTGGCCCACCTTGAAGGATTGACATCACTTTGATTTCACCTGCAAGGCGAAATTCTCCATTCATAAGGGATACTGTTGAGTTAATAGGTTTGCTAGTTTTCTTTCAACATGTTCCAATATTTCTTAAAAAATTAAAAAATTACAAGCTTTGTGTTGAGAATATATGAAATTTATTTCACACACTAAACTCAATTTTTCTTCTCAAGGTCTATTGTCAATCTGTTAGGATTTTAAGTTAATCAGAGGTTGCAATTTGTGACTTGACTTGTTCTTTTTGTGACAGGAACGCTTTTAAAATATTCACAAAATTTGCAGTGGAAATTTTGTTAGTATTTCCACTTTGCAAAACTGAAAAGCCAAGATATGGAATGCATATACATTTCTAAGGGGATTACCCAATATGTTGTATTGAATATTTGTATTCAACATACATTCAAGATTCGAATGCAAATGAGTACCTTACACATATTCAATACAACACAGAAGCATGTTAGACACACTTGGAAAATATACAATACCTGAGAAAAACTCTCTCTTTGGACATCGATTGTCCATGGCAGATTCACCGACAAACACAATTTTTACTTGGTCAGTGGGTGAAACTTTACCATCTGATCTCCACTCCTTAAAATCTGACCACATATACAATCTTTGCCAAAAATCTTTCCCCCCGTGCCCCCCGTTCAATGTTGATGTCACAAAAATGGATACATCGCAAACGAGACGTCATCTGGCATCAACGCAACATTGAAAAGGGTGGGGGGGAGGGAGGGATGAATATTCACGTGGAAAAGTTGTACAATGTCTATATAACGTTTTTGAAACTACATTGTCCCATAGTATATTGTCAAAGATTGTCTATGATATAGAGATTTGTTTATCTATTTTAATGATTAATTCAACATTTAATCGTTATTCCACTGTGTCTTGTAATTTTTATGGCCCTGCTAACTGTGGCAAAACCTTTTTAATTTCACATTTGAAATCCATCTATGAGTACTTTGTTAATCTTGCCTCAGGGAGTTTTGCGTGGGTTGGCGTAGACCAAGCGGAGGTGGTCTTGATTAATGATCTGAGATGGAAACCTACCCTTATACCATGGTGTGAGTTTTTGCAGGATTTAGAGGGTGATATCGTGCATTTTCCAGCCCCTAAAAATTTTGTGAGAAAGGATATTGAGCAATACTTCTCTGTAATGATGTTCCTATTTTTATTATTAGAAAAGCGCAAACTTACGCAAATTACGTAACCTCGAAAAACCATTTTAAATATAGTGATGACGCCGTACAATAGAGTAATGATGTACATATTACAAAACGGTTATACGCATTGATTACATCACGCCAAACGCCCAAACTATGGGCACTTGACTCTGTAATCGTAAAGTTAGCTTCAGTTTTATAGAAGTGTAACTCACCGAGCATGATATAGACAATCTTTGCCAAAAACTATGAGACAAATAGTGAAAGTTCATATAACTTCTTCTGTCCATTTCCCCCCGCGCCCCCCGTTCAATGTTGATGTCACAAAAAATGGATCAACAGGCATCAACGCAACATTGAAAAGGGGGGAGGGAGGGATGAATATTCACGTGGAAAAGTTGTACAATGTCTATATATAAACGTTTTTGAAACTACATTGTCCCATAGTATATTGTCAAAGATTGTAGCTTCTCCGGATATTCAATCTTACAATCTTATCTGACAATGTTGCAGCTTTAATTTGTAATATACAGTACTGCCAAGAAATAAGTTAACACTGCATTTTGGTTGTGGCTTGTGCGGTTGCGGTCGTGGTTTGTGCAATAAACCTAACCCTAACCCAAACCTGAGTATTCCATAACACAACACGAATATCCAACATGAAATCTGCACGAATAAGAACACTGAATCGTGAACAATTAACTCATCCATTATAGCCAAATAATTTAGTATTGACTTGCAGTATCATGCATGCATTTTCTCACCTCTGGAAACGAGTGCAAGACAGTTAGCATAAAGCAAGGCCTGGAAAGCAGTATATTACATAGAGACAATAACACTCTTCTGTAACTCACTGCAACTGTCATTTCTCACTCCTATGCTTTAGTGTCCGGAAAGTCACACAATTTTGCCTACCTATTGTTTCGAACATACAGAAAATACATAAGACGGGCCCATAAATCAGTTGTATTTGCTCATTATTCGAAACAGTCAAATTCAATAACAGGGTTGGTTCAACTAGACTGTAATCCAAAAAAAACTGAAAATTCAAGCAATATAAACAGTAGAGTGTTATAAATCCTAAACAAAACTCGATTGTTGACACATACTTAGTTTGGACTTGAGCGTATAGCAAGGTCTGAAAATTAGTGCCAACCTTAACTGTAACATATGTCGAACGTCTGGCTATAATATTAATTCTCCGCGCATGTCAATTGGCCCAAAGGAAGTATGTGAAGGACCGCCATCTCACACGCACACACAATTGCCACCCGTGAAAATTATCACCACAGTCAAACATTACCAGCATCTTCCAGTTCATGTATTTTGTGATGAAAAACTACGATGAAATTCTGTATTTATTATTTTGTGATTTTTGCATTTGCGTGCTTTGAGGAAAGGCCAAAGTTCACCAAATTTGTCCTCAAAAGTCTTCCAAATTTCTCATTTAGGTGGTGTTCCGGTGGTGTTCCGGTGTTCCGGTAGTCAGTGTTTTACTACATGCCGTATGGAACAAATCTAATTTTATTATGGAGTTCTCACCAAAAATGTTTTTTAATTTTGCCTGAAGAGAACAGCAGTTGTCTACAATAATCCTTTCAGTTGCTTTTCCATTAGAAGTCAACTGGGCATTTAAAGTGCGAAGCAAGCAAGTGACATTATCTATAGATGTACCTTTGGTAAATTGCCGTGATAATATGCCGCTGTTTTCATTCATAACGATAAACAGGGAATCATACAGTTTGTTCCATTTTCCATGTTTCCAATAACCAATATTAGCTGTTACCTAAAAAAATATAAAATAATAATGTAATAATAATCTATCTCTAACAATCATGAACTAAATTTAACATTCATCCTGAGCTGACGGTGGGAGGGTACTAATTCCCCCGGCTATTTACACCCAGAGTTGGCAAAAATGGGAAAAAAAAAAAATTGTGAAATTTGAAAAACAAATCGGTCATAGTAGAAAATAGACCTAAATAACATATAATGAGCAAAATTCTTTAAAATATCGATTAACATAACATTTTTAGGGTTCTATAGGAAACAAGAATTTTTGTACTTCTGGTGAAGTAATTATAAGGACTTATTTGATACCACAATTGTATATATTAAGACTAAAAAATTCTATGCTTATTTCTAAGTACAATAGGCATATATAGGTAAGAAAAAAATGGTTTGTTGGTCAGTAAATATTTTTGAACCTATAATTATTTAATTAAATACAATGATATAAAATTCCATGTAACATCTGTTGCAAAATATTACCAAAGTTTATTTATGGTGCAGGGTAGGACTTCAAATTAATGAAATACAACTAATTTTGTTACTTTAAGCATGAATAAGCATAATAAGCTGGTTAACCACCCCAAAAGTTACAAACATGATTGACAGTTAATGGTTGAATTGTGTAACGTCCGGTCACATTCAAAATAGGCTAATTATATATTTCTTTCACTAAACTGTTTTTGAATTCATCACGAATGTATTATATCTGAGGTAACATGAAGTATATACCTGCAGTAGTAATACTGCTGGCCTATTTTAATGCAGTTTAGATTTAAAGATTTTGTCTGAAATCACAACACATTGGAATTGTAAAATTTAAAAACAAAGAATGCCACTTACTGCTTCTCAAAGGCAAGCTAGGAGAAGACAGAAATTAGAAGATGAGAATTTGTATGAAGATTACAAGAAAGAGGGAAGCTCAGGCTGAAAAAAAGAAAAGCTGAACTACCGGCAGGTGAGCAAGCTAAGATTCAAGAGGTACGAAAGAAACAAATCTGAGAACGCGTTGCTAAACACAGAGCATCAAAAACCCCAAATGTTAACACTTCAACTTCACCAGCCTTTAAGAGTGCACAGGCTCTTGGAAGAGCTGTTTCTAGGGCAAAACGAGCCCTCATTCCAGCATTACCAATTACACCAAAGCGCAAACAAGCTGTCTGGCATAGCTTGTCCAGTAAATATGGTAAATCACCAGTTTCAGAAACTACACCAACTCGCTCGACCACAATAAGTTAAGAGACAAAAATAACAGTCCCAAGATGATATCAGTCACCAAGAACCGGGCAGAAAGGATGTTGTGAATATTCGGGGTGAAAAAAGTTCAGGTTCGCCATCTAACTACTTCTGTGAATGAAGTATATGCCATGTTCTATGAAATACATCCGGATGTGAGGATTGGCAAAAGTAAATTTGCTGAACTGAGACTGTGGTATTCACATGATCATCACTCCCTGTGAACGATGGTATTGAGTGGACACATGTAAGATATAGAATATGGTGTTATGTATGTAAAGTAAACACATGAAAAAAAATACAAGACTCTGTCTTTATATCACTGGCGACGAGGATTGAGAAACTCAAATGAAACTAAGAGGACTGGAAAAGTAATTCAGTATATATACCAACACAGAAATATGAAGAATTACAGCCGGACCCAGCGTGTATTCAACGGTAAACAGAAATTATTGATGCTATAAACTTGTCTTTACTCAGATATTTACCTCAATTATTATGGCCACGGAAGGACCAAAGCTTAAAATCGTTCCATTTGATCCACACAGAGACAGACTAAATTTAGGCAGACGTTGAGAGAGATGGCTGCCCCTATCCATGACTCGCCTTCCCCCACCAGACCGTCAAGCGTTTCCAACGAACAGTGGACAGAGTATCGACAATCGAAGGAAAAATTAAACCAATATTTTCTCCCTCAAAAGTCAAATGACTTTGCTTTATTCGAGCTCATGCAAGTGAAACCAGAAGAAGGCGAAAGGACTGGGAACTATGCAGCAAGACTAAGAAAAGTGGCCGAGAAATGTGACTTTCCGAACTGGACGGCAGACAAAATGATAACATGTCTTATCATAAGTAACCTACATGACGACCAGCTACGATTGATATGTCTGCAAAAGGAGCTGACACTTGACCAGCTACTGGAGAAAGCACGAAAGAGAGAAGATGCCATGGCCATGAATGAGGTCATGCACAAAAAAGACAGGGAGAAAGAGAAGTTAAATAGAGTGAAGCAACAATATCCATTTAAAGGTCCACACACACGGAAGGAAGAGACACAAGAAAAAGGCAAGTACGAAAGCAAGGGCAGAGACGAAGAGCAATGCTTGCGCTGTGGTAGGCGACAACAAAAAACGAGAGCGGAATGCCCAGCCCTAGGGAAGAAGTGTGACTTTTGCAAGAAAACAGGACATTTTGCTAAGGTTTGTTTTAAAAAGTTGGTAAACAATATTAAAGAAAAGCCCACTCAGAGTGATACCGATGAGACAGATTATGACGAGCAGGTAGCAAAAGTCGCAGAAAGGGATCCAATGCACTTGACAAACAACACCAACGTCGAGTATGGGCAAGCTACAACAGACAACCAGATTTTTAATGTGGGAACATGCCCGGCTCTGGTCAAAGCCAAAATGGATGGTCACAAGTTGACATGGCAACTGGACACAGGTGCCACAAGAGACATCATGGACAAATGACACCTACGAGAATATGAGAAAGAACACCGCGGAAAAACGTCTGCACATGCGTCAACCTTACCTGTAATAGTATTGCGAACTTGATGAGAAGCTGTTCCGAACGTTTCCGAAGGCTCAAAATGGTGGTGAAAAGGAGTGACTTCATTGTGCGTCTTTACAGCCAGATTTCAAGCGCAAAAATAAACATGTCATTCTAAAAACTAGGAATAAATGCAGCCAGAAGGTTCAAGAAATTGTACTGTACAAGAACATGAACTAAAGGTGATTTTTGACAAATTTATCGTCCGAAACATTTTGTTTATCAACTAAGCAACGACAATTTCCGAATTTTCGTTTGAGATACATTTCTTTAAAAAAAACTATGTTGCCAAATATAAAAAATTGTCATGTTCACAATAATTAAACTTTAGGATGTATTCTACAATTTGAGTGGGTTAAGAAGCTTAACTTTTTAGTTTGAATTTTTGTTTTGATTGAATTTTTGTTTTGAATAATTTGTAAAAAATTTTCGAAGTCATGTCCGTTAGAATCAACAATTTTTTACATGAATTATATTTCATTCCATAGTTTAAATGCCAGGACGCTTTCAATTAATGTCTAGTCTACCCATTTGCTACATTTTCTCGTTTGTTTTACTAATTTTTGACCAATTAATAAGCATGTTTTTGTTTTAGAAATTGATATTCAAATTCCCCGCCACATTTTCATTATTTGGTGCATGCGCAGACGTTTTTCCGCGGTATTATGAGAAATAGGTGGGAAATAAGTGACCCTTTCCCCATCTGTTAAGTTGTTTGCGTATGGCAGCAATTGAAGCCTTGAACTGGTTGGCCAATTCCAAGCAGTACTACAAGCTGGTGAAAAGAGCCTGGAAACTACCATCATCGTTACAAAGGAAGCGTCATCTTACCCACTCTTGTCGGAAAATTCATTACGAAAGCTCGGGCTTGTCCAGTACAACGAGAAATTCCTTGTCGAACAAATTGATGAAAAAAGAGACCTTGCAGAAGTATCCCAACGTAAGAGAAATCTTGGAGGAACGCAGCAAAGTATTCAGTCCAAATATCGGGAAAGCTGTAGGCAGACAAGTGACCATAATGACAGATGAGACGGTGACTCCAGTTGTCCAAAAGCCAAGACGTGTACCATACAATCTTGCAGCCAAAACAGAAGAAAAGATCGCATACTTGTTAAATCAGGACATCATAGAGAAAGTACCAGATGACGAAACACGTACCTGGATCAGCCCAACATTTATCGTGCCGAAACCAAGTTCGGATCAGATTCGCCTATGTGTAGATATGAGGATGGCAAACAAGGCTATTCTCCACCCATACACTCAACTACCTACGATGGAAGACGTGACCAACAAGTTTCAGGGTGCGAAGAAGTTCTCTAAATTGGACTTGCGCGAGGCGTATCACCAGTTCGAACTTACCACCGAATCACACAAAATAAGACCTTCTATGGACCAGACGGATTGTATCGTTATAAAAGACTGAATTATGGTACAAAATCGGCACAAGAATCCTACAAAACGAAATGCGAAATATCCTTGCGGGTATACCTCACCAAATCAACATCGCAGATGACATCCTGATAGCTGGGTCTATGAAGGAACACAACCAAGTGCTGGAACTTGTCCTCACAAGATTACAGGACAATGGCATGACAGTCAACACAAAGAAATGCCAGTTCCACATTGAAGAAACACCATTCATTGGACTTATTTTTAACAAGAAAGGCATTCAACTGGACCAAAGTGAAGCCCTCCACCTCGCAGGTCCACCAAAGAGTAAGGAAAAACTCTGATCACTTTTGGGCATGGCAGGGTTCAGTGAGCGATTTATGCCCAACTATGCCAAAGTTACGGCGCCCCTTCGAGAAGTGTTGAAAGAAGGTACATGGGACTGGGACGAGAAACATCAACATGCCTTTGAAGAGCTACAACAAGCCTTACAAGAAGACACACTATTACAACCAACAGAACAAAAATGAATGGTCAATAACAAGGGATGCTTCAAAGTTTCATAAGTTATTTGGGAGACTACCACAAAGTAGTAAAAAGGATGGAGAGATATACAAGGCGGAAAATGACACAAACGAGCATTCGGACCAAGATGAACACGAGGAAGACGAAGAGTATAATGAAGGTGATATCGAGCAAGATAACGAAGGAGCAAACGATGGTAATGTAGAACCACCAATGGCAAGGCGGAACGCAAAAGACAGCCACCAGCTTGGCTCAGAGACTATGAAACATAAAGGACTCAAGAGTTGGACAGTTGTGAAACAAATATGATTATTTATTGATATTAGGTTTGTTTCTATTTAATATAGGACATATAGTAAACGGATCAAGTGATCATCACACCCTGTGAACGATGGTATTGAGTGGACACATGTAAGATATAGAATATGGTCTTATGTATGTAAAGTAAACACATGAACACAAATACAAGACTCTGTCTTTATATCAGAGACCAAAACATGTTTTGCTCAGCAGCCAGTTGCCATGCAACGTGTGCTGATGCAAGTACCATGAAAACTTTATTATGGCTGTAGATACTTTGAACAATGCAATTGCTGGATTTCCAAAGTACGAACATACCCTTCCAAATGAATTGGTGTGCGCAGCCGCCACCGAAGATTGTTGGTTCAAGCAGTGTCCAAATTGTAAAGATGGTAAGCTACTCCAAAGCAAGTTCAAGAGCATGGAGAGTCGAGCACTGTAACTTGGCATGTTCGGGCCAATGATGCAGATGGCAAGCTCTGCAAGATAGTAAAGGAAGGCACAAGTGATGACCTCTTCTCCCACCTATGTGCTATACTGCCAGAGTTCCTCCAGCACAGCTACACCAAAAGAAACCAAGCTGAAAGCTACCATAATGAAAGAGAAGCTGTTAGTGGTGATTTCGACCAATCATTTGCTATGCCGCAAGTTGATTTTTCAGAAAATTATACTTGCATGTTTCAAGATGAGATCCAAAGAGCTCATTGGAAACAGGATCAAGTCAGCTTGTTTACTGCTGTTCTTTGGTTTGATGGAAAGCTCCACCCGAAGGTGATTACATCTGACAACTTAGATCATGGCAAAGATACAATCGTCACTTACATCTACCATCTCCAGAATATTCTTCCCAACACAGTGGAAACAATCTCCATATGGTCCGATGGCCCTTTGTCCCAGTTTAAGAATCGATTTATTGTTGCAGTTATCTCAGCACTTCAAGAGAAACACAAAGTAAACATCAGATGGAACTTCTTTGCAACATCACATGGCAAAGGCCCAGTTGATGGCATTGGAGGCTCAGTCAAAAGACAAGTCTGGACATCAGTCAGCACCAGAAAAGCTATTGTTACAGATGCAACCTCATTCTGTGCAGCTGCAAACCAAGCATCCAATGTTGAGGTCATAGAAATGAAAAGCAAGGAAATAGAAGAACGGAATGTAGAACTTAACCTAGAAGAAGTGTCTGATAAAGCTCCTGCAATAAAAGGTATCAATTATTTCATATTCAAGTAGAAGATTCATGGATTTCCTACTCTCTCCTTTTTCTCTCGACTTATCGTTTCCAATTAACCCATTCACCCCTCTTTTAATTTCTATAATCGTTATTGCCATAATTTATCATGTATATGCAATTCATACTATTGAAGTTGAAGTAAATAACAATAAATTTGAATACTGGTCCTATAATTATTTAGGTTACACAATGTCTCACACCAGTACTTGTCCCATTACCTATTTTGACCAAAACAAATGTTGATATTACCCATAGGGAAGGGTTAGAGCTAAACACGCTCCTTGTACTGTTTGGTAGTTATGACATTGACCCATCATCTCCCACTCCATAACAATGGACCATTATGGTTTATTTACCGCCTTTATCTAATATTCCCTAATTTTTACCTTGATCCTTGCTTATTAAGGTTGATAAATAATATTTTCGGTGGTCATGTTTCAATTGCCCACTTGTTTGCAGTATATTTTGCCTATCTATTATTTTGTTTGTTTTATTTTGTTTTTAGTTACTCCTTTTCTCAGCTCAGAGTCGGAATCTGCTGTTGATAGCAATAACCATAACATTGACAATCATAATAATTATAGCACTAACACTAATATTGAGGCCTCCAATAACCAGACTAATGCTTGTACACTTTCCAATACCATAGCTAAAACCTACGAAATCAATCCCATAGAGAATGAGGCTACTATCAGCCATCCCCAAATATTGGTAGAGGATAGTATGACTGTAGCACTAATGGCAGATATAATGAAAGATGACGATACTGACATGGAGACTGACATCACTGACCCCACAACAGAACGTAAATTACTTGGCCCAGAGGATGACAACATTAACACTTACACTAACAATGAGACGCAAAATTCCTCTGATTCAACTGGACTGGAAGGCCTAACCCAAAAATCACCGGAGATAACACACAAACTTCACTCTTCTAAGGCTCTTAACAATAATAACCTAGACACTAACCGGATCAGAGACATCATTAATATGGCGCTTTTTCGGGTTCAAAATGTAATACTATAAATCTGTCAATATATGTCTTTGGAAGAGTAGCTATTTGACGTGTTATATGAATTTGTCGAATAAAAGTTCCATAAATTCTTGAATTTGTCGAATTAAAATAAACAACTGTTCATGACTTCGTCGATTGTTTAAATTCTTCGATAATGCCTTGCGACCTTGGGGACTTGAGCCCGCAGATCTCGGATTTAATTTGAGTAGAATTACATGAAGTTTTCCATAAACACGTGTTTCGTTTCAACGTTTGTTCGTCGTTCTTGCATTATTCATTTATATACGTTTATTTTAATAAATGAATGAAAAAGCCTGTCGATATTAAACGCTAAAAATGGAAAATATTCTGAGAGACTGTGCAGAAAAACTTATTACAGCTGCTAATAGCATCGTTTCTGTTCCTGCTGGACAAACACTGCCATCCACGCCTGTCAGTGGAGGTGTTATAAATGTTACCGCCAATAGTACGTCTGCCTCTTCAACACCATCCCCTGTGGCTGTGCCTTCTGGCATCTCAACGCCAGTTGCACCACCTATCCCCGCTGCTTCGAGTGTTCAAGCATCTACAGCATATTTAGCTTTGCAAGAGCATCGACGTATATTTGGTTATCGACCTCCTGCAACTACCAGATCTAGTAGACAATCACATGTGTCACGTTCAAGCGCTCGGAATATGACCACACCTTATTCCAAGAAAACTCTTCAAAAAAATACTTTTACTAAAGCATTTGTTTGCCTGAGTAAAGTAAATCAGTGTTGTCCTCCGAATGCTGCAGAAAGAATCAGATTAAGTTTGGCAGGATTGGGAGAACAAAAAATAACGTTTTTCAAAAGCGGCGACTCAGCACATGCCCACGAGAAGGTACTGGAAACCTTCCCCAGTCTAGTGAATGGAGGGGGATATGAGATCCTACGTACATCAGATGGAAACGCAAAAACATTGATAGATGTGCCTTGCCCTCCAGTGGGATATGATGTCAATTTTTTGAAGAGCGCTCTTGGTCAGGCAAAAGGGTTTTTGAGACCCCTTCAACAGGATTTAACCTTGGATGCCACTGAACTGACACAGGTACTGTACACATACTACACATTTGCTATTGCTCTGTATTAAAAAGTGTGTACAGTAAGCATGTTGCAATATTAAATTGTTTACTTTTCCTCAAATCTCATGACTAATTGCCTCAGGGACGCCGGAAAGGGGGTGGGGGTTGCTAAAAAGATAAAAATAGATAAGGGGTAGATAAAAATTCTAACCCGAAAAATATGAGGTACAACGATTAAAAAGTATGAATTACGGGTGAAATGTATGTAATATTGAAATATACGCGAAATTTTCTGGAATATTGTGTCAAAAATTATGTTTTCAAAATTTTTGCCCTTTTTTTTGGTGAATTACGGTCCCAGAAAACATTTTTGGAAACAAAATATTAATTAGTGATTGCTCTTACGTCAACATTGCCCCCCTGTGCCCTACCCTCGCTCTGGCGTCCCTGAATTGCCTTGTAAATTGTTAATAGCAAGCTCTATAGCAGCTCCTACCCCAGGCCTGAAGGGATCAATCAATTCATTAATTACAGGGAAGGAAGGGGGGATGAGAAATGTGATGTTTGAATTTTGTTGACCCCCCCCCCGCTTTTGGATAATATAGATTTTATTTCCCCCTCCTACAATAAGAAAAGATATGTGTAGTACGACAAGCCATGGACCATTTTTGTATTAGGGGAGGGGGGGCTAGTGGTTACAAGCTAAAGGCATAAGCTTACCGGGGGGGGGGGGGTCTGCGGGTTATGCTCCAACAGGGAAATTTTTTTAAAAATATGAGCCCAGAAATGCAATCAAATTTACTCGTTGCAGTTTAATGTTTCTTCATCCCTTTTTATATGCACAAAAATATTGCCCCCCTCCCCACCGTTTCCATCAGCCTACCCCTGTAATTATTAATCGTTCCCTAATTTTGGTTAATGCATCCATGATTATGGAAGGGTTTTAAGAAAATTTTGAGAATATCTTTTACTGGCACTTAAGGAATTGCATTGCTCACCAAAAGTATCATGTGTGAACTGCAATGAAGATGTAGTTATGTCGGAAATGAGAAAGCATCAAAATATATGTGGTGGTGGCCCTTCAAGGCAATTTTTATCTACAGACAGGTATTAAAGTTGATGGTTTGATACAATTAATAATATACCAGTATGTAGAGTGTATATTTTACAGCACATGTATAATTATGACTAATGTATTTATTATGTATTTTACATTTTATAGTTGTGATACTAGTCCAGTGCAAGTTCCAATAACTGACTATGTCTGTATGCAATCAGAACAAGGAAAAGAAGATCAAGGTAATTTGTTAAAATGTGTGCTGAAATATCAAAGTTGACATTATTGTGCAATTTGTTGAAGGCATGCATTTTGTTGAGTTTAATGTTTCCTGATTTTTTGTTGTACAGAGAAAATTGAAGCTTTGCAGAATATATTTCCAAATGCTGAACATGCTCAATTGAGTGCAGCTTGTATGGAAGCGATGGGAGATATCAATAAAGCTGTTGACATTGTTTTAGATAAAGGTGAATAATTTTTAAGCTAGAAGTTTGAAGAGATAATTTAAAGCTTAATCTTACAAAACAAGTTTTAGATATAATTTTTCTATAATATTATGATTTGCTTTATGGAGAGTCAAAACTAAGGCTACCAACTTTTTAGAGCCAAGTAGAAATGAGCATTGGAACACCCCCATACTACCTGCCAACGTGCACCCTTTTCATTGTATATAATACTAACCATGAGAATAGACCTCAGAGACAATTAGACATGATCCAAGCTTGCTCTTAAATAATAAAAATGGATTGTTTTGCAAAAACAATTTCTTTTAATATTCTTAATTGACCTTTTTACTGTTTAGTGATGGATGGTTTCCAGAAACAAGAGGAACAAGATAATCAACAAGCTAGTGTTTCACACAACATAGGTACCCAGTACCAGTGGCGTAGCCAGCTCGACAATTTAGTCCCGCTATGCAAACTTATTATCATTATTCATTTCTTTAGAAATTGATTGTTTTCACAGTCAATGAACGTGAAAATATTTGCATAGCGGGACTAAATCGCCGGGCTGGCTACGCTACTACCCGGTACAGAGTTCAAATTAGTTCATTGCTTCATGATGTTGAAATGAAGTATGTGTTTTTCTTTTTCTGAATAAGTCTTAGAGTTGATCCAGAAACTGAAGATCATTGTTTTGTTGGAAATTAATTAATCATTAGATTGTTTTCAGTATCAATTGACAGTGATGATACCAGTGAAGATGAGGAATTAAATCGCCCATTGGCCACAATGCTATTACGTTCCCAAAATAATAAAAATACTGGTAAGCTAAAGCATGAAAAGTTAACAATTAATGATGGCACCCAATAGAGCAGCTGGCCTTAAAATATATTTTACAGGGCAGTCTGACAAAATGTCCAACGACGTTGAGTTTGGGTCGGACATCTGTCCGATGACCTTCAGTTCAGTTTTGGTTCGGAAATAAGTCTGAATGTCACAACAGACACAAGTGAATATCAGCACAATGTATTAATTCTGAATGGCAAATGTTGTGAAGATATTAAATAATTTGTTTCTTTCATATTTATTTCAAAGCCAAAATTAACTTGCTTGCCAGATAGCAGTATTAAAAAAGACTTCGACAACTTAAGCCCGTTTTCCACTTCACCATTTCGCTCGCTGCCCCGCCCTCAACTACGTCATTTCCAGTTCACTTTTTATACAAATTAGTACTCTGATTTTCCATTTAACATACAAGCTAGCCTCTAGTCCTGGGCTAGGGTACATTTTGATTTACGTTGGACAAAGCTACAGTTCAGTCGGACACCAATACACTCGGGTCGGACAAACAGTAAACCTCAGTTTCACTTAGGTCGGACAGAATGTCCGGTGGTTTCCTTTATATGTCGGACAATTTTACAAATGGGTCGGACAATGTCCGTGACCGACCGATATTTTAAGGCCTGAACCCAATAGAGCATGTATTAGCTATATAGCACAATAATGATCGTATATACTGTAATATATTTATTAGATTACTGCTATTACGACATGTTATTAATTTTTAAATCATATTTTTAGACATTTCATCTATTATCAAAAGTCTTGGGAAAAAGCTGAATGGGCCTTTCTTAAGAGTTACAACTGATGACAACCTCATGTTATCTGATGCTCTTGTTATATACAAAGATCCAGGATTTGATGCATCCCGTCCTTTGCGAATAACGTTTGCTAACCAGCCAGCAATTGATACAGGGGGTGTTAGTAGGGAATTCTTCGACAAGGTGTATGCAAAAATGGCTGCAAATGGGGATGGCGATTTTAGGGTTTTTGAGGGGCCTCCTACAAGGCTTTTGCCAACCTATAGCAGCCGGATTGTTTTCTCTGGCATTATGGAGGCCATTGGAAAAATGATTGCACATTCCATTTCCCAATGTGGAATTGGTATATCTAGGCTATCCCCAGTGTGCTACTGGTACATTGTATATGGTGATATCAGTAAGGCAATTTCATTTGCAGAATTGTCTGATGTGCATGATCCAGAGGTTGCAGCATGTCTACAGAAGGTGAATATAGAAAAATTTGTTCCATTTATGGAAAATATCTCGATCTAAATTATTGCTTCTTGCCCAATTTAGGTTTATTTTTTATTAGGGTTTTGTTGTTTGGTAATGTATACACTGATAAATTGGCTTGAATAAACTGATTTTACTTTCTTAATTAACCATTAAATTTCTTCTATTGTTAAAGGTTGTCAAGGCAAGTTCAAAGTTGGATGTGGATGAACTAAATGGGGACAGTACCTTCATTAACATACTTTCAGATATTGGAAGCACTTCAATTTTATCTGTAAGTGCAGTCTGGCTACCTACTACCTAGTATGAACATAGAGTTTTACCTTAGTTTTACCTGGTAACTATATAACTAGAAAACCCCATGGTTATTAATTGACTGATAAAATTAACTAACCATGAGGTTTTCTATTCGTTAAATTAATAAACGAATATACAGCTATTTCAATTAATGTTGTCCACGAGCAAAGCGGAAAAGTCGAATACGAGCGCGAAAGGCTGCTGGGAATCGTTAACAAATTAATGAATTTTCAAAGCGATTCCCACTCTGCAGCGTTTCGCGCTCGTATTCGACTTTTCCGCTTTGTTCGTGGACAATCTTAATTGAAATAGCTGTATATTATTCAACTCCCAATTCTAATAAGCAATGTCATTTTTTTTTTTTTTTTAAAAGAGCGAAATATATGTATTCGTTTACTAAGATTTCAGTATTTACCGGGTGATTCTCAAGTTACTGTTTTTCCTTTAGCTGCAGAACAAGAATGAAATTATGCAATGCATAATGTGCCATTTTGTTTTAAATAAACGGAAAGTTCTTCTCGACCAGTTAAGGGAAGGTCTTAAAACACTTGGTATTTTGGATGAAATAACTAGTCATCCTGAAATTTTGGCACCAATGTTCATGTGGAAAGAGAGATCAGTTAATGCCATTCTTGTCAAAAGTAAACTCCAATTCTCCTATTTATGTGGTGATCATGTTGTGAAACATATGCTACTGCATTTTATTGATGAGAGTAGCGAACAAGGTGAGTGCAGTAATTTGTGATTAATTAAAGACCATGTAAAGTCCGTTCTGCGCATACGTTCTGCGCAGGCTTACATTCCAATGGTCGGGACCTGAGCGTTGGAGTGTTATTAATATTTCGTATCTTTTGAACTTTCTTGAATTGAATCTCTAGTCTGTATTCATTTACAAGCATAGCGAACCAGAAGAGTGTTAAAAAATCAGTATAATATTAATATATCTAATCCAGGGCTCGAAATAACGGTCCCAACGTTCCCGATCACGGTGATCGGCAATCACAACTTTTTGCCGATCAAATAAAAATCCAGGGCTCGAAATAACGGTCCCAACGTTCCCGATCACGGTGATCGGCAATCACAACTATCTAATCCAGGGCTCGAAATAACGGTCCCAACGTTCCCGATCACGGTGATCGGCAATCACAACTTTTTGCCGATCAAATAAAAATTTAGCCGATCAGGAGCATTTGCCCTCATGCATTTCCTTGAAAAAATTCTAAATATGCCATTAAATACATATCTAAAGAGGACGTTTAATAACTTCATTTCAAATTCAAGTTTAAATAATTAAATCTATGACATTTGTGGACTTATATTTACAATACTGACAATACTAATAGTGTAACTACATTTAACATGTATTACAGTAGTAAACTTTACTTTAATTAGTTTTAATTATAGTATACTGTAATTGTATTTTTTCGCACAAAAGCAAGAAACACAGCAGTTCACTAAAACTTATTATTTAATATTAAAAGAGAAAATCCTAAAAAATCCTACTCAAGAAATCCTATCAATTTGAAACCACTATGACAAAGACGTTCGTCGTGGTGGTTCGGATTGCAGACTGTTGAAGCGGAGACGACAATACTTCATAGCATTGCGGCCTGTCGTATCACTCGTACAGGGATGCCGGAACCACGGGTGCAGCGGGTGCAAGTGCACCCCATGCCTTTTGTATTCATAACTTTTTGGGTGCAGTGCGGGTGCAGACTATTGGTGCAACGGGTGCACAGAAGACTTAAAACGAATAGATTTAAATCATTTCACACAAACAGCAGTGGTGTAACGGAGGAAGAGGGGTCCCTTAGGTATATTTGGTGTGGGGGCCCCTGTTGACTGTTGTCATTGTTTGGCTGAGATATTGTATTTATATTGAATATTGTAACAACATTTAACAACTAACAAGAATAGCTTTTGTTTTATTTGAGATGGAATAAAAAAATCAGTTGGATGAAAAAATCAGATGGAGGCTTCATTATTTGACATTAATTTTTCATTTTCCCATCGACTCTTAACCTGCATTTTTACGTACGTTTTCTATATTTTTTTCTTCTATTTTTATTTGTCTTTTACCGCGTACAGGTATAAGCATGTCTTTCAGACAATGGTCAAATTACTCAAATATATTTCTTGCCGATCAAGATGAACGGCAACGTTGCTTTTTCGCCGATCAAAAACAATTTCCTGCCGATCATTGATCGTTGATCGGCCGTTATTTCGAGCCCTGCTAATCATATTTTACAACTGTAGCACTGAGTTCAAAATGTAAACAAAGCGTTTGTTTACATTACAGACTTTACATGGTCTTTAAATAAGGAAAAATAAGGTTTTCCTCTGGAAAAAAATGGTGTTACAAATATCAACTCATTCTTAACTCATTTGTTTCAGAACTTGAAAAATTTTTGTCATTTACAACTGGTGCTGCCAGTGTGGCAGGTTTAACATCGATTTCTGTCAAATTTGATACAACAGCTGGAGAAATTTTTGCCTCAGCGTGCTTAAAATCTCTGCACTTGCCAGATGAAGTTCCATTTTACGACGATTTCAAACAAGCCATGCAAACAGCCATAATGGATGTTGGCCCGTCATTCAATGCACCCTGAATCACACCATGAAACAATTCGTTGTGTTTATTTTTGAGAACCATCAATGACTGTTGCATTTTTAGTTTTCATGTTTGTTATTATTGGTCTATTTGGTTATCTTCTCACCAGAATCTGGCTATAATGAAAAACTATTGTTTGGTTTATTGCTCTACTTTGTTATGTAAGCACATATGATTATAGAAAAAAGTAGAGTTTTAATAAAGAAACAGTTCAATAAATACTAAATCTTATAACGCATCATTACCTCTTTATATTTATACATCTACGCTGATTCTTGTAGAAAAAGCAGAACATCCAAGAGAATATCAATTCCATAGTTATCACTCTGCCTAAGTGGATTAATTAATTGGACAAGGTCTTGGTATCTTTCATGTGAACATGGGATAGCTGTAGCAGGAACTGTAACATTGTCTACTTGATCGAATTCTAATGGCACAGGATCATCATAATCAATGCCATATGATGCTAATTCCTCCTAAAATGAAAATTCATTCATACAAAATCTTATTTGATTCCAATTGAATACAAAAATTGAGATGATCCAAAGTTATGGTATTTATTACCAACACCGTGGATGCTTCCTCTTGCCTGAAAAACCGTGTCTACATTTCTACGCCTTTACTTGCTAAAATGCCACAACTACTATTAGATAATCTCTCATGTACATAATTTCTCGCGGACCAATCAGACATCACCATTCCCATGATGCCACTGTGGTTGCATTCTTGAATGTTTTGATGTGAAAACATGATACTTTTTTTCAAGCAAGAGGAAAGGGATCCACGGTTTTGGTAATTACCCACTGATCTAGAAATACTTAATACCTCAGGGACATTTTCCACATAATCCATTTCAGTAAGCCCATTTCCCTGCATTCTTAGCAAGCCAATGATGTATAGCTGCATAGGTGTGCGGTTTCCAGCAGTCCTAACATGATGGCGAACATATCCTGCTTTCCAAATGTGGAGATGATTATTTATTCTTGGTACATAGACAAAGTGCAATGCAAATAAGTGCACTTCATTTGATAAGTCGATAATAAGGGAATCTTCCAAATGATAGAAGAGATGGTAGTATATATACAGCACCCCATCAAAGATGTCCCTCCATAATCGCTCAATCCTCTGATTATGCACACTTTTACCTACAATCATGCTACCTCGACTTGGACCTCTTAGAGGGTGATTGAGCATAAATAACGATACAAGGACATTTTCGCCTCCTTTGTCGGATCTTATTCTTGATGGCAACCCATATTCAGCCACAGCACCCTGAAACAATTCTAGCACAGTTTCAGCTTTGTTATTGGTACCACACTTTAAATATACTGGGATACGTGTGTAGCCATCAACTCCCCCATGAACAACGATTCTCCATCTATGGAATAGAGGTAATTAAGCACATTAAATTTTCACATAATATTTTAATAAAGATATAATAAATAGGTTAACCCTAATAAGATATTTCTAACAAATTACCGAATGAGTTTGTGATTGCCGTCTATATGCCACAAGGAAAGAGGACCTCTAACACTGTACACTCTTGTAGGAGTGATTGACAGCCACCTCATTGCCACACCTTCAGGATCTGTCCTGTGCATTGATTCTCTAACCCTCGCCTGAGTGACTTTTATTGATCTTGACCTCAGTACAGAATAAACTCGCCGATATCCAGCATTTGGAAATTCTCCTTGCACACCTCTTACAATTCCATCCAGCGCTAAATCGGTTACGACAGCGTCTTGTTCGCTTCGGATGGAAATACCGTATTCCCTAAGTCGCCTTTTTATTGTACTTTTAGAAACTCCAAGGGCATGTGCGATGTCGGGAACTGATATGTCATACTCGAGCATATAGACCAGTTGTTCTCTGGTGATAACAAATTTCGGTCTTCCCACAGAGCTAGCTCTGTTTTGTTCTAACACGTTGGGAAGAGTTGTTCTGTTTTCTAAATTTAAATTTCGAAGCAGTGAAATAACTTCTGAAATAGCATGGAAGGTTGAGTTAAATCTGATTCCCATTCGAGTCAAGTGACCACATATTTGTTCCAAGCGATATATAAGGAAGTCTACAACTTCTTCGTCTGGACTGGACTGCAATCTTCTGGACAGATCAAGAAGGGACTGCCTTAATCTTGATGCATACAAACTTATTACATCATTCGCCTGCGCCATCTTGTGAAAATTCCGATTAAAATTAAATGACGTTTTCATTTTCTTTATTAATACTCTGAGATCTGCGGGCTCAAGTCCCCAAGGTCGCAAGGCATTGTCGAAGAATTTAAACAATCGACGAAGTCATGAACAGTTGTTTATTTTAATTCGACAAATTCAAGAATTTATGGAACTTTTATTCGACAAATTCATATATACACGTCAAATAGCTACTCTTCCAAAGACAGATATCGACAAATTTAAAGTATTGCATTTTGAACCCGAAAAAGCGCCATACATTAACAGTATTCCGAATAATTTGGATAGGACTTTCAGGGCACCTAATAACCATAAATTTAATCTTCAAAAAACTAATATCTTACTGGATAAGCTTGAGCAGCATAAAGAGATGAATACCTCCCCAACAGGCCTCATACCTAAGGTGGAATGCAGGGTCAGATTACCACATGACCTTCGCAAACGATGGGATGAAGCCCTTACTGACACATCTAATACCCTTCTTGATATACTAATTGAGAATCATAATAGGACTAAAACTAATCTTTTAAGCAATATAGATAATTCACACCAGTATATATATACTAACGCTCCAGATGAACTAACACCCTCTAACATTATACAGGTCACTAATAAAGGTAGAACCCTCCATAGGTTCAAACCTTATAAACGCCATAATAACGTGTCCATAGCAGCTCTTTTACATCTCCATCTAATACTTCAACAAAAACTATCTCCTTTAACAAGACCCCAATTAATATCCCATCTCGCTCTACTGACCTTAATAGCAACAGTAATTCCATCTTAACTACCCAAACATTAACCCCACTAATGAGCTGCACCCCGAAAGGTATCACTTCTAATACCAACATTACAAGGAGAATCAATTCTAGGGTTGTTTCCTCATCCCCTCGCATAATACAGCCCACACCTCTAGCTTCCCCGGCTATAGGGAGGTCACAATGTGTTGGTTCAACCGTCACTAGGAATATGTCCAGCCCTAACATTACCACCCCAAACTCCTTCACAACTAACAGGAGGAATAATATTAACACAACCCTGACTAATGTAACTAGTTCTAACCTGGAGGATTTTCTCTCGCGTATCCATCTCCCCAGCTATCACCTAAACACGAAAAACGAGATGAAGCCCCCGCTAACTAACAAGCTAATCAAAACCAAATTGCGCAAATATTTGCACACTAAAAGGAATAATAATAATTACCGATATAAAAGTAAAGGTACAATTCTCTCTGAAATTAAAATGAAACGTATCAAAGATAGTGTGGTGAATTTATCCAACACACCCCTAGACCAACCCACCAATCAAATTTTATCTAAAGGTCTTAAATTCATACCCACACCACAACCAACTAGTAGGGAGATTGTATACAAGTCCTATCAGGACTTTCAACGAAAGATGCACTTAAGATATTTCTTGAAAGAATCTACTAACAATGATACTCCCTCCCATCCGTTCAAATTAAAAAGTCACTTTACACCTCCGCTTCCTGACAATGAGAACCTCCTAGAGTTTATTTCCATAGTTTATCAAGAAATACTCTCGCACCCCAATACCCCCACTAACAAACATAAAAACTATTCGAGAGAAGAGACATCTGCACTGAAAGATTTGCAGAAAAACGATAACTTGATTGTTAAACCAGCAGATAAAGGTGGGGCCATTGTTATCTGGCCAAGAGATGACTACCTATGCGAGGCCTCCAAACAACTTGCCAACACTACCTATTACAACCATATTTTAATTAATCCCATCCCTGAACTAATAACTAGAATACAACAATTTGTTCAAAATAATCATAAAGGTCAATTTGATCATACAAAATATAAATTCCTAATGTCCCCTATACCAACTTAAACTCCCACCCTATTCTTACTACTAATTCATAAAGCTGGCAACCCGGGTAGACCTATCATCTCTGGGTGTGATGGCCCCACTGTCAGATTATCGAAATATGCAGATCACTTCCTCAAACCCTTAGTTAGCAATATCCCATCATTTGTGAAAGATTCATCGGATTTCCTTAGACGTATATTTAAACTTCACCATAATCTTCCCACTGACATTATTCTTCTTACAATAGATGTTAGATCTCTGTACACTAACATCCCGCATGATGTAGGCATTGACGCATCAATCAAATACCTTCAAAGATTTAATAGCGAGGCAAACACCAATCTTTTCATGGGTCAATTAGAACACAACATGCTGATGGATGCCCCTGGTGGATTGATTCCACTTGAGTGGATAAGATTCATCAATGACATCTTTGCAGTATGGACACATGGAATTGATAAACTAAAGGAGTTCCTACATTATATTAACAACTTCCATCCCACTATTAAATTCGAATTTGAGTACTCTTATGAAAGAGTCCATTTTCTTGATACTAGTATTTACATTAACAACCTTAACCAACTGGAGTCCAACCTTTTTATTATTTTATTTTATTTTATTATTTTATTATTGTCTTTATTAGGGTCCACTACAGTATATGTACAAAGTCTAATTATTTACTGTTCTGATTGAAAATCTATACTGTTCTGATAAACCTCGGAGGTGAATACGCCTCATAAAATCGAGGGTTAGTAAATCCCCCAGTTGCTTCCCACAATGCATTGTGTTCCCATTTAATGAACGAACTGCGGGAAACAACTGGTACAAATCGTAAATGCACCCACTCAAGGTTTACAAACTATATTATGCTGTGTTATGTTTATATCATATATTATATAATGGTATTCTTAAGATAAACGTTTATTATTACATAATGTTAATAAACAGTTAGGACCTGTGGCAAGGACAGTCCCGAGTCAAAGACCACGTGCAAGACACGTCTGCGTCGTAAATAGAGTTAACTAAGTTTGAATATTTGTGCTTGAGATAACATTTAAAAGAAATAGGTCTAGAGAAACTGTCAAGAGATACTTCTTGAGATACAGTGTTCCAGATATTGACAATACGGTTGTAGTAGGAGGATTGAAAAGTGGTAGTTTTACACAGTGGGTTTTGAAGGATATAGTCAGAGGAAAGACTCAATCGAGTACGACCATGGCTGACAAACGACACATAGCTACTCAAGTTCACGTTTATAAAACCAAATAAAGCTTTATAAAAGAATGTTAAGTCCTTCATTTCTCTATCGTAACTTAATGGTAGCAGGTTTAACGACGACAGCCGTTCTTTGTAAGGCATCTCTCTGTTCATTAGTATCCACTTGGTTGCCCTCCGTTGGACTTTCTCTACTTGTCTTGATAACTGAACATTGTTAACCGGTGACCACACCTCTGAAGCATACAACAACTGGGACTTCACAAGTGACAGATACAAAGTTCGCCGGGTGTTCATGTCTGTAATACTAGTGCAGGTTCTTTTTAGTATACCTAACATTTTGTTGGCCTTCGCAACAATGGTGTTTATGTGTAGTTTCCATGAGAGTTTTGTAGTAGTCGTAATACCAAGGTCCTTTTGATGGTCAACCCGAGTTAGCTTTTCGGTCCCAAGGGTGTATTCGTAGATGATAGGCGTTTTCTTTCGTGTGACGGTGAGGACTTTACACTTAGAGGCATTGAAGAAGAGATTGTTTTCCATACTCCACAGATCTAACTTGACCAATGAATGTTGTAAGCTTTCACAGTCGCGAGTCGAGATAATATGTCTGTGAATTTTCGTATCGTCCGCGAACAGGGCAATTTCAGTTTCGTTATGTATGATGTCTGGGAGATCGTTAATGAATATAATGAACAAAACTGGAATGCTTCCCTGAGGCACACCTGAAGTGACTGATGACCATGCAGAAGCTACTCCATCCACAACAATTCTCTGAGTCCTACCGTTTAAATAGTCAGCGAACCAATCAAGAACAGATCCTGTCACGCCGTACCAATGCAGCTTATCCAGTAAGATATTATGGTCAACGGAGTCAAACGCTTTGGCAAAGTCCAGGTACAAGACATCAGTCTGAGTATTCTTATCTAGGTCTTGCCCGATAGAGTGGAAAGCTGACAAGAGTTGGGTGACACACGAGCGATTTCTCAGAAAACCGTGTTGAGATGGACTGATAAGGTTCACAACATGGTCATAAAATCTCCAGTAAATGCACCGTTTTAAGGTCTTACTAATGATGGGCAATAGCGAGATTGGTCTGTAGTTCACAGCTGGTTCTTTGGAATTCTTCTTGTGCACTGGAGTAACATCTGCTGATTTTCACTCAGAAGGAATATGTCCAGATCTTAGTGAATGGTTGTAAAGAGTGCAAAGGCTTGGAGCGATTTGATGACTACATTCTTTCAGAAGGCGGGCAGGAATTCCATCAGGGCCACTAGCTTTTGAGACATTCAGATTCAACAGACTGTTTACAACTTCTTCGACATCGAGCGTGATCTCACTTAGTTGTGAATCGGTTGGTAGTCGAGAATTGCGAGAGTTAGTAGCTTGATTAGTCGTTGGAGGTTGGAAAACTGACGAGAAGTAGGAGTTAAAAAGTTTGGCTTTCTCAGTAGGTGTTTTTGCCACAATGCCGTTATGTGAAATGACAGCGTTTTGAGTTGACCGGTGATGAAAAACAGCTTTCTGATAGCTCCAGAACAGTTTCGGGTTGCTGCGGAAAGACTCCTTAATCTTAAGTAAGTAGTCACGATGTTTCGTTCGAACTAGATATTTGATAGTTTGACTTATTTCACGCAGCTTTCGCTTACGATAGTCAGTTCGAGTTTTCCTATATTTCTTCAGGGCAGCATATTTCTTTCGAATTAAACCAACAGATAAAGCTCTACTTTTACATAATGGGTCCTTTCACCCCAACAATTGCAAAACTAGCATCATATATAGTCAAGCCCTTAGATACGTACGACTAATTACTAACCATAACAGATTAAGCGGACACCTTCAGGACCTTCGTATTAATCTAATTACTAGGGGATATACTAACAATGTAATTGATAATGCCTTTAATAAAGCTCTGCAATATACTCAGTCCAATCTACTAATTGGGGAGAATGATAATAATATTATTCGCATTGATGGTAATGCTACTAACCAGCGCCCCAATAATGAACCTAATAGCAATAAACCTATACTAACGTTCTCTGTGCCCTATAACACTAATACCAAAGGCGAACGGTTAAATATTTTGGTGCGAAAAAATGCAACGATTAACGTAATATGTTCATTGTTAAAAAAAAAGAAAAAATTTAAATATTCGATTACAAGTAACGACGTAGTACTACAAAATATGATAGGGGACATTTTTTTTGGGACACCCTGTATGTGTATGAAGTATCCAGTTAACTTTTCAGGACACTATAATATCCATTACATCACGTTTACTATATTGGTGCATGAAACATGGAACGATTACCACATTTATTAAGGCCAAATGATTTACATACATGGGCAACCACTTTCTAGCAGGAATGTTGCTTCCATGAGCGAACGTTGCTTTACCACATTTATTAAGGCCAAATGATTTACTTAACATGGGCAACCACTTTCTAGCAGGAATGTTGCTTCCATTGAGCGAACGTTGCTTCCATGGGCAACCACTTTCTAGCAGGAATATTGCTTCCAAACAGTGGATCACTGTGTCCTGAATGGATGTTGACAATGTGCTGTAGATTACCAAACCATTGCCAACAGTGGATCACTGTGTCCTGAATGGATGTTGACAATGTGCTGTAGATTACCAAACCATTGCCATTATTTTATTTTATTTTAACAAATTTATTTGGATCAAATTATTACAAGTTCACTACTATGTAGAAAAATCCAAAGAAAACCCCAACAGACTATATACAAATAATTGGATAGCTATACTATATGGGTGATCCAAAATGGCAAGGTACGAATGGGACTCTAGAAATTGGACCCATGCAAGGCACCTGCCAGCGAAGTTACAAATTATTAAAAAAAAAGATAAATATATATGTTACCAAAATTACTATGAAGGAGTGGATGAGAGAGAAGAAAGAAATGAAAGAGGTGTACAAACAGAGAAAGAATGAGACGTGTCGACAAACACACACACAGATATACAGACAGACAGGGACACACACACATACAACACACGCACACAAACTTAAGTCCTATGGCAGGGACAGTCCCGAACCAAGGACCAGGTACAGGGTAATTCAATATCGCAGACGGTGTGAAGAAGGTGAGAGTATTTGAGTTTGAGAAAGTTTCTGAAAGAGATAGGGCTGGAAAAAGTTTCAGGATTAACCTCTTTACATACAATATTCCATGGTTTAACTATACGGTTAAAATACGATGATTTAAATGTGGTATTACACAAAGGTGTTTGGAGGATAACGCTATTGACCTGAGTCTAGTACGGCCTTGATCAACAAAGGAAACATAATTGTTAATGTTAAGGTTAATATAACCGTACAACGCTTCGAAAAAGAAAACAAGGTCCTTGATTTCTCTGTCGTAACAAAGAGGTAAAAGTTCTAATGCCAGCAGTCATTGTGTGTAAGACATCTCGCCAGTCTTGGTTTTTAAAATCCACACAGTGGCTCTCCTTTGAACACTCCCGATCTTTCCACTCAGTTTTCTGTTGTGAAATGGAGACCATACTTGCGTTGCATAACATAACTGCGATTTTACGATGGAAAGGTAAAGACTACGCCTGACTTTGGTATCCGTTAAAGATGGACAAGTTCGTTTGAGCAAACCAAGCAGTTTGTTGGCTTTCGATGTTAATTCATTCACATGCGAGTCCCACAATAGTTTACTGGATAGGGTGACTCCAAGATCTTTCTCCTCCTCAACTTTCGGCAACTGTTCTGAACCTAGGCAGTAAACATAGGAAATTGGGGTTTTCTTGCGCGTGACAGATAAAACTTTGCATTTTAATGCATTGAATGTGATGTTGTTGTCACTGCTCCAAACATCTAGGTTGGTCAAAGCTTGCTGCAGCTGGTCACAATCACTAACCGATGTTATTGTTCTATAAACCTTTGTGTCATCTGCGAATAATGCCAACATTGTTCCATTTTCTACCGCCTTGGGAACATCATTAATGAAGATGACCAACAGCATTGGTTAATTTAATTATCATAAACTATTTCATCAGTAATTCAGTTATGTTTATAGCTCAGTGGGTTCTCATCATAAGCAGTCTGGACATTAGCATGAATTATATTATTTAAAAAATTGGAAATATTCTCACTTTTCGTCAAGTCCCACACATTGAAATAGTGGATGTTTTTCAAAACTTGCCGCATATACTTTGCAATTGAAGTATGCCTGTCTGATATGAAGGTAGCCATTAGTGGCATGCTGGGTATTATTTTTCTGGGGGCCAGTGAGCTATCAACCAATATGCGCCCCTATAAAATAATGGTTGATAAACGAGGGCCGAAAGCATGAGCCAAGCGCCACAGGTGTGCCTAGGGGGTTCAGGGGCATGCCCCCCGGAAACATTTTAAATTTAGAGTCTCTGAAATGCCATTTCCTGAACTTTGGGGGAAGATTTGATAGAAACCTGATGGTCAGGAAACGAGATTACAATATGTTGAAATTTGCAATTTGGTTAGAATTTTGTTGTTGTACTTAAATTAGCACGGTATCAGTTTTACTATAAATCTTTATTTTAGATTAATTATGGAGGAATAAAGTCACTTGCTGAGTATCTTTGTATAAAATATTTTGATTTATATTAAATGCCGATCTCACTAATAACTTGTAATGTTTTACTAAAAAGTGTGCTTGCACTTTATTGATACGAATCTGTCATGTTTTTTGTCAAAACATACAAAGAGTTAATACTATACAGTATATCACTTGATAGTTAGTACTATATATCACATGTTGTATCGAATGTTGATAATGTCAAATATCGCCCATATCGATTGATCGATGTTCTCCAATGTCTTTAATGTTTCAATAACGATTGTCAATTTCTAAACATTTTCAGATAAGCACCTTCGACAATTCTGATGTCAGACCTCCAAGGCTGTAATAATCTGCTCCTTTTCCAAAGACATTAAAATTTCCGTTCAGTGGTCATAAGTAGCAACGCTTCAAGTTTTTCTTGAGACATAGACGAACGTGTGCAGGTTTGATTGGAATTGCAACTGCAATCACGTAAACTTTGCAATCACGTAAACTATGCATCAACTAGGTGGTAATCAGGATTCAACAAAATTCTCAGAGCTTCTAGAAATGATGGTTTATCCTTGTTCTTTGGTTCTTCAGCAGTTCCGTCATTGCTTGACTCGCTGTTGGTTTCTTCTTCATGGTTCTTCTTCATGGTCTTCGGTTTCAGATTCAGAACTGGAGTCTAAATCAGAATCTTTCTCTTCTTCTTTGTCTTCATCAAAAATCTAAACACTTCAATTTTTGAAAAGATTCTGCAAAGTTGAGCAGTTCATCTGCACATCAGTGCGAGTCGATGTCAGTGGTACACCATGCATTTTAAGGTTTCCTTGCCTGGCTGCCAAAAGGGCATGTGTTTCAGCATTATCTTATTACTTGCATTACTCAATGAGTCATGATGTTTCTTGCACAAACAACTAAATTGTGTACACAACTTTACATTATCAAACTATCTAATTTGCATCGCTCTTGTGATTCGTGAAGCATAATAAGGGCATAATATAAGGGCATAATATCAGCAAAAAAGGGCATAATTCCTGTGATCACTTCGAAACCTGACCAAAATGCAACATTGTGTGTGATCACTGATCATGTTTCTATATGAACGATTTTGTGCGAGGTAGCAATACTGGCTGGTTAGACAAAATAGTCTGTAAATTAATATATCACTTTGTCACCTATGTGCTCAGTCTGTTTATAAGCCTATAAACACATTTTTTCTTGGTGGAAGTACTATATTTTTTTCAAATGCATTTTCCCCACCTACTTTCAAACTTCAGCGGAATTGGTCTGCCACTTCTCGCTACGACTGCTTCAAGCTCCTGATACAATTTTCCGCTGTCTGATCCGGAAGAAAGTTCCAAGTAAATCCACGCCTTAGGCTGCAGGTGAACAAGGGAATGTAATCCTTGCCAATTCTTTTCTTGCTAGATCTATAGGTTATAGGACCAGCATAGTCTATACCCAGGACTTCGAATGGCACTGATCCGACTGTTCGACCTGTGGGTAAGGGTCCGACAGGATGGTGATGAAATGTGGAAGTATGGAACTTCTTGCAGCCGTAACAGTTCCTTATGACTTTCTTGCGTAGCTGTCTCAGCCGAGGTACCAGTATTTTTGTCTCATGTAGGCCATTGTTGATCCCACTCCCCTGTGAAGACTTTGAACATGAGCATTGTGAATGATTGTTGTAGTAACGAGCGCATTTGGAGGTAGATATATTTGGAAGTTTCCTTGAATTCTTCCACAGCATTCGTATAGGCCATCAGAATTTTTCTGTAGGTTCAGCTTCAACTTTTCTTTTAACAGTTCCATTTCACTGTGTGCTTCGGTCGCTCTTTTCACCCAGAACTGAACTTGTGCTTCCGTCGCTTGGGTTTTGTTAAAGGCCCATATGTCTGTTCAGCCTTAGAAGACTTGCAATTACAGATAAATCTGACGATCCATGCGAAGACACACACTGCCTTCGAAAAGCTATGATTCTCTAATAGCTCATCCAGAACATCCGTCACACACAGTGGTTACCAACGGTTCTTTGGTAGGCTTCGCTTCAGTTTCAGACTCTTTGCTAGGTCATTCATCGGGTTTTGACAGCCAATTTGGTCCTGTTAACCAAGATTCTGGTAATTTCGCTGTCGTACATCTTTGGCTTCTCAGGTCAGCTGGGTTCTCATCCGTTCTCACGTGCCTCCAATTGATATATTCCTTGGTGTTAATCTTCTTGACTCTGTTTGAAACAAATTGCTTGAGGCACCATGTCCTTTGATCCAGTACAGGGCCACTGTACTGTCCAACCATCCAGTGACTGATCTGACAGGGTATCCACCAAGCACATTTCTAGCATTCTCGACCAAGTTAGTTGCCATATGTGCCGAAACAAGTTCAAATCACGGGATGGTCAACTCTTTCTTTGCCAATCTGGATTTTGCTGCAATCAACCCTTGGGTGATGCCAGACTTTTGATGTACCACAGCATATACAGTTGCTGATGTTCCGTCCTTGCTGGAATCTCCGAATGTATGTAGATTTATGGCTTCGATTGGCTCCTCAAGGCTGGTCAGGCTTCGTGGGAAAACTAGTTTCCTGGGAAGGTTTTGCTGAAACTTCTGCCAACGAGTCGACAGTTGTTGAGGTATCTCCTTATCCCATGGCAACTTTTGATCACACACCTCTCTGTAAATGAGCTTCCCTATGAGTGACGCAAGTCCCAGAGGGTCGTAGATTGAGGCAAGGAAGCGTAATATCTCTCTTTTGGTAGTCGCGGCTGTTTTCTGGGGAAGGATATTGAAATTGTGTCTTTCACTTTATCCCATGGAAGTCCAAGCATTTTGGTTTCACCCCAAGTTGATCTTTTGCATAACTCTTAATGCCATTTGTGTAGGTCAAATTTCGCCTATTCAAATATCTCCGTCACCGTTCCTTTCACTTTGTGTACACCATCTCTGCTTTCTCCACCTGAGATAATGTCATCAACATAGAGGCTTCACTTTATCTCTTCAACTTCTGAGGGGTATTTTTCGCCTATAACTTCCAAATGCTGTTGGATTGTTGCTTCCAAATGCTGTTGTCAACTTCTTTTTGTCCTTAATCCAGTGAAACCTGAGCGAATCTCTATCCTCAGGTCGAATTCTTACTTGTAGGAATGCTTGTTTGATGTCTGCAGACAGGGCTGCATGTTTCAGGTGATTTCTGACAAGTACATCCCACAACAAGTTCTGCAAGGGAGGACTGTCTCCAAGCAATCATTCAACGATGGACTGCTCTCCGAGGCCTTAGCAGATGCATCGTAGACAATCCATATCTCAGTGGATTCCGCTGCCTTCCTGATGACAGGTTTGTGTGGAATGTAGTACGCATTCTTCACCGCATCATCGGTTACTTTCTCAACAATCCCTCCTTCAACTAATCTTGGTCAAGCATTTTTCAACCGTCCCAAACTGTTGGATTTGTTGGTTGGTAAAGGCTCGTCATGTCTAGGTTTCCATAGTAACCCGGTTTCGTACCAGCCTTCTTCGCTGTGTCGTAGTTGTTGCTTGAAGTCTTGGTACACCAATTGTTGGCTTTCATTAGGTTGATCTTGGAGGCCAAGTACATCCAGGCTGCATGGCTGTTCATAATTTGCTGCTGAAGATTTAGTGAAGTAGTCACTGCTGAGATCTGCTTCTTCGCCAGCTGCCATAATAGTTCAACCGAGTGTTGTGAGTTCTCCAACAGGCTCTCCGGGCTGTCCGAGCTTGGGTTGTGTTTTGCTCTTTATTCTTGAGTAATCACTAGCTCCCAATATAATTGAAATAGGTAATTCCGGCTTAGTGTTGTTATCGTCCATTGACACTTCTTTCAAATGCTCATACTGACTGATGATTTTACTGTAATGTGGGTTTGGTAGAGACAACAGTACCCCCTTGTCAACTTTGCTTGCTTGAATATTCATTACGAAAGTTCCTTGAACATTGGAGACCTTCACATTGTAACTCTCTATCTGCTGACTGGTAGAACATAACATCATATCAATTCTCTTGTACTCAGTTTTGTTGGGTTTCTTGCTAAGGAGCTTAACCAAAGCAGCTGAGATGTATAGAATAGAATAGAATAGAAACTTTATTTCACGAGGGAAAACGTATTAACCGTAAAAGTTATCTAACATACGGCCCTCGCACTATTTGATATTTACAGGCATAAAAAGTATTAAGGATTACGACTATTTACATTTGAGAAAAAGAATAATTAGTAATGAATACAATTACAATTTAGTAAATATTTACAATTTATACAAAATAGATCTTCGATATGGTTAGTAAGGGTAAGCTTGTTAAGAAAGATTTTACAAATTTTTTGTTTGGCGTTAGTATATGAAGAGCAAGATGGCGAAGCAGCAAGTTGCTTACAATCGCTATCTAAGCAATTAAAAAGAATGGAAGCACTGTACAGAAATGTTCATTTACCAGAGTCAGTACGCGGGAAGGGGGGTTGAAGGTCATATGCGCAAGCTCTAGTCAGAGCCCGTTGTCGAATAGAAGATAAGAATTTAAACATTTGCTTAAATGAAGATGGAGCACTGGGATTTGTGAGAATGTTAATTAGTAAGAGAAGCTTCCTAAATTTAACAAGATCAAAAATTGGGATTATTCGAATCTGGGAAAAAAGAACAGAAGAGTAGAAAAGTCAGCGTCTAGAATAATACGTGCTGCACGCTTTTGCAGTCGAAGAATGCGAAGTAAAAGTGTTTTTGAGCAGTTTCCCCAAGTTACAGAGCAGTAGATAAGACTTGAATTAATACAGGAGTTATAGAAACGAAGAGCACAGTCCTTAGTTAAAAAGGGTTTAATCCTGCGTAATAAAGCAAGTCTACTATTGATTGTTGACACAATACACAATACGTCACAATACACAATATGTCACACGTATTGCAAAGTTCTCTGCATTTTTGTTGTTTCGCTTTCATTTGCTCTTTGACTAAAATGTTTAGCTGTATTATTGCTAAACATGCCGTTTTTGAGAATTTGGTTTGCAACTAGGTTTCAACATCCAATCACACCATCAGCCCATTGAAAGCTAACTATTTCCTATCCATTTATTTTATTATCCATGGTATTACTGGGATTAGAGTAAATCAAAATGCAGCTTACTAATGTTTTTATGCCCAGACAATGTCTTTAAAATGTCAGCTTCATTTTTTGTGACTTCTCCAATATCACAGCTTCCGTGATCACTCAATTTATCCACAATCTTCACCGCATACTCCTGACCCGACGCTTTGTGTACACATTTTCTCACAACACTTGATAAACCTCTAGAACAATAAAATTCATGAATTTGATACAAATAATCAGCAAAACATTCCAATAAGTGGGAAACTTAAACTCAGTTAAATGAACTCATTTTCTAGCCTGCATGGCAGACGCTCAAGTGGGAAAGACCGTCTGCTGGGTTTGCAGACCTGCCAAGTCGCACGATTTAATCGTGAGACTCACAATTTTTGATGCTTTCTCATGATCTCACGATTAAGTCCCCAAATCTCACAATTTTCGGAACTTATGAAATCATCGAAAAGCGCAACATTTAGTTACAATAAGGCACACTCTTCCAAGGAAATGTCACACTTCATTAGTGTATTAATAATGCACCTCTGAATGCGCAATGTACAACGCCAGAATTTTGTATGTGTGATGTTTGTGTTACAAAGTAAAAGCTGGCATGTTCTGCTAAGTTTATTGTCCTGTTAGTCCTAATATTACTCATAGTTTTCTTGTACAGTGGAAACTACTAAAGCCATAAAGGAAAAACAGCCTGTTTTTAATAAGCCTTGCATTTACGGTTATATTAACAAAATATAAATGCATACTATCATAAAATTGAATATCTATTGATTATTTTGTAGTGTTGTTAAAGTTAACCCTGGTCATATTAATGAGCAAACCTGAAAATTTCTCAGTCTCACAATTTTTCAGTCAATCTCATGACTTTTTAGATAGCAACTCACTATTTCTGCTACTCAAGGGTTGGCAGGTCTGGGTTTGGCTATATATGTGTTTCAGATTCTACCTCTTTTAAAATCACAGCTAAAAATAAATGACCATTATTTATGTAAACAAACAGCACATAACACAAACATCAAACAAACATACTGTAGACTTTTCTCCTGACCAAAACAATTAAAACATGTGAAACAACAAGCAATTCTCTAACCCATGACCTCTGCATTTCAGAATTAATAGTTGGGGTCTGGAACTATAGAATTACATAGCTTTTAATTTGCAAACCATTGTTGTGTGATTAGGATATGAAATGTCAATGAAATATTTTGTATATTCCACATTTTTTGCATGGGCAGGCCTGTAAATAACTATAATTTTGCTTTGAATGACAAATATCTGGCCAATACAAAAATTGGTCGGACATTTATCAGTTTTTCTCAGACAATGGACAAATGAAAATTTTTCATATTTTGGCTGGTCATGTTAGTCAGCAATGCATCTAAAACTGGGTATAACATCCAGCGAGAAACTTTGCCAGATTCCAAGCTAGAGCATCTAAAGCTGGAGTTACACGAGCAACTAAATTGCTGCAAATTTCAATGCATGTTAATTGAAAATGTTTACACATAAATTACAAATCACAAGGCAACATATGTCAACATTTCTACTTAACATGCGTTGAAATCAGATTTTGTTGCAAGTTGCAGCAATTTTGTTGCTCGTGAAAACCCCCAGATATTTCGAATTGGCTTATCGATCATTAATTTTCATTGATTGCAAATGCTGGCGTGTATTATTTTGTACACAGTATTGACATATTCAGCAGGGATGATGTTGAATTGCATCTGATTTCTAATGAATAGCCAGACAGATGTGTTATATAATCGTATAAATATATAATCAAGCCATCTTTGCAACCATGCATGTGTCAGGCTGTCAGCCACAAGCATAAGTCTCTGCTATCTACTACTCTACAAACACATCTACAAGCACAATTTCAATTCATACTCACGCCCCAAGCTTTTCCTTCGGTTTGTATTTGGCGTAAAATATCTGAGTAGCTTCGTTCTCTTCCAAAAGGGCTCCATCACTATCGTCCATCACTCCTTTCGATTTCCGGCTTCTTGTCCAAAATTCACGTCATATTAGCAAAGAAACGACCTTTCAACGCAAACCTAAGATTGTTAGAACTTCTTTATTTTCTTTCCTCATTTGTTTTGAGAATGAAATGGTGCTTTTGAGCTTTATTTTTATTTTTACCGGTTTTCGATTGATATTTGTTTACTTTCTTAGTTTCTTTTTCTCCTGCCCCCCGAAATTTGTCAGATGCGTGTTTCCACTCAGATCGTACAAATTTCAGATTTGCCTTCCCAAATGAAGCTCTATAAAGCTCTCTATATAACTGGAGTACGAATTTCAGTCATTCGCCTCAGTGAGAAAGTTCACCGCGTCGACCCTATTTTTTCACGGCAATTTGTTTTCGCTAACCAACCATACCCGAGCACTGAATGTAGTTTTCGCTTGCAGGTACACCATAGCCTGCTCAGCAGCACCCACCATTAATTTTTTGAAGCAGTTTGAACACATTTTTGGTTTTCATTTGAACAAAATTTCGGACTGCGAGCAGGCTAGATACACCACCGACTTTGCGTCTTCAAAAGTAGTACAGAAATCTTGAATTCCATACCCTCTTGAGACGCTCAGAATATTTTATATTACTAACGGCAATTGTTTTTAATAAGAATGATTTTGAATGTTTGTCCCACAATTACTAGAAAAAAAATCATATTGTACCCCCTCCCCGCCAATTCAGGACACATTTGGAGAGCCCTTAACATTCCTGGACTACACCACTGGTGTAGCTGAGGATTGAGATAGTTCAACTACCTGAAAAGTATAAGCGGAACTTCGTCTTCAGGTTTTGAACGAAGGGCCTTCGTCTGAAAGTTAGGGCCTTCGCTCGAAACGTCGAATTACGTTCTGCTTGTATACTTCAGGTGTCTGTGTCTCTTTCAAAGCCACAGCTGTCTTGAATACGAAATAATCGACTAGTACTTTATTCTTCGGTTAATTTGTGTAAGTAGATGTACCCGCCGTTACATTGAAATCTAGTGTGTAGTTTGAATTATTGATGCTCTTTGTCGACTCGTATCAGTCGTTTAATTGACAAGACGATATGAAAAGGACTTGAATAATTGTTCAATTTCAATAAGGGTAAGTTAAAATCTATCTTAGTTTTTATCATAATGCAAAATGCGTTCGAAAGATAGAGTTAATAAATAATTAGTGTTTTTTTATTAAACTATTACAAATAATAAACATTTTCATGCATACATGTCAACCGACATGCTGTTTGGCATAATGGACTAATAATAAATGTAGGCTAATTTGGTTATTGACATCATGTAGGGTTATGACTTATGGGTACGGGCTAGCCTTTTCCGTAAGCGTACGTCTACCCGCGTTGCCCGAAAACGTTAAAACAAATCAGCCCAACAGCGTATTTATATAAGCTTGAAGGTGTTATGACTGAAATCATGTCTGAAAAGCTAGACTGGTTCATTTGAAATTTTATTTTCTAAAGAAAATTAGATGCTTTCAGAAATCAAAACAAAATTTAACCGCCAGGATTCTTTAGCGCTAACCCCTAATCTTTGAAAACGCATGGTCCCAGACTGTGGTCAGTACACAAGTTTAATTTTATATTACTCTGACACTGCAGAGTACAGCGAAAAATTCGTTGTCTCGAAGAGGATTACGAACTCGCATTTTAGGATAGTTCTGAACTTATTAGACTAGAAACACTGCGCGCCCTCCATTTAGAGAACTCGTTTGGATGCGCATGTAGTGGAACTCTGAACTGGTTTATTAATGGTTCTAAGCATTGAAGCCCTGCAGGTGAAATGAGTGTTGATGAGAGTTGAGAAGTAAGAGTTTGCACTAGAGTTTTCTCAACTCCAAGGACAGTAACACCAAGTCGAGGCTTAAACCTGTTTAAAAGAGGATGAGAGTTGATCGACTCTCATTAACTCTCATTGTCTTTGAACTGGTTCAAATTTTAATGAGAGTTGATATAAAAGTTTTCGCCATCGCGCAATAATATCCAGTCAACTTTCATCAACTCTCGTGCAACTCTTGTTCTCGTTTGTCCGAGGCATGAGCAATGCACCCTTTTCGATGTTGACCTGCTGGGGGTAACACGCGTGTATAAACGCAATTCAGAAATGGTCTATTGGAGTAGACATCCTCGCCCAAGTTCGTCACTAATATAATCATCTCTAATATAGATCGGACCATTTGTACACAAAGCAGTTTTTAGGAAAGCATCAATGCCTCGAAGAAGGATTTTCTTCAGTTTGATTCTCATAAGCGTTACAACGTTGATCATTACTATATTTTTACGATATCAAGTTCTGGATGAAAGAAAGGTAAGTGGCCGTGTCAGAATTAATTTTAACATTTTCCCCCAATATGAATAACCCTCGAAAGGGGGCAGGGGGCAGAGTGACGACTTTTTGTGACGATTGATATCATTGATTATACGTAAGCTTAAACTAGCCCGGGTCTGAGTGTTCCTTCAAGTTAGGAAGAACTGGTCAACATTTTTTGGAACGCTTCTATTGGCACGACTGTAATTAATATACAACCATACACACTAGCCACTTTGAATTCTAAGAAAATGCAGCCTGTTTTTGCAACACACTGTCACTGACTTCAATTGACCTTTGCATGTTCTCCTAAGTCCTGGCTAAATCTAAAATGATAATCCCTATTAGTGTTGCGGTTATACAGCTGGATAACTCTACTCTGTAGCTGATTTGGTTGGAGCGCTGTACCGGAATCACAGAGTTTCAGGGTTGATTCCTTCCGGAGGGCTTTTTGTTGCATTTTTCGCAGCTACTCAGCAGGTCTAAAAAAATACATAAAATTACACCGTCGACATTTCCATCTACAAAACCCTGGTACAACACATTATATACTGTGTATATACTCAATTTTCAGTTCATTATTTTGGCGCAAAGGGACTACCAAGAATCCAACGAGTGGACAAGTAAACAATTTTTCGATCCTCAGGTAATTTATTCTTTGTCCGCCATTTTATGGGCTGACTACAACTTTAATTCTCGTTGATACGCACTCTGTAACAACCTTGTTGTTACAGATGATAACAACTTGTTCCAGACTTGTCAACAACTGGCCTTGTTGGCAACATGCCTTGTATGTTTCTATATTCCCACGCGATACGATTCGTCGTATACACGCGTAAAAACATGACAGCTTGTCAACAAGATGTCATGTTGGCACTTCACACTGTTTGTTCCCAGTTATTGACAAGTCTGGAACAAGTTGTTATCATCTTGTAACAAGGTTTATGAGGCCAAAAGACTTGCAAACTAATGCAACAAGTTGTTCCAACAAGTCTTATATCGTCTGCACGTAACAAGTTGATGAAAGCAAGTCGTAGCGGTCGTAGCAACTTGTTATAGGAACAGTATATATTAGTCTTGTTGGAACAACTTGCACTCTTGTAGCAAGTCTGTTGCTGTCATCAACATTGATACACGATGATAACAACTTGTTCCAGATCAACAACTGGGAACAAGAATTAAGAGCACATCTTGGTTGAAAAGAGCTGTGAGATTTAATTATATTCGTGTGAAAGACGTGTTCATTAATTAACGGGATTTTCAAGGTAAGATGTGCACCTACAGTCAAGAGTTCATTCTCAAACACATCGTCATCAAATATGAGCTGCCGTTTACCTGTACTTGATCCTTTTCATCCATCTATCATGAAGTATATATCAGCTACATCTTACCCAGAATGCCCGGGAAAGCAATATGGCGAGTTAGTCGACGGAAGATTAAAATATTCAGGTGATTATTTTGCTTGTTCTAGGGGTGCGCATTTACTAAAAGGGCACTTCTTTCTTCTTACCCACTTTACGCGAATACTCCCGGAAATACGTCAATTTTCTACGATTATTTCTAATCTACGCATGCTCACCAGTTCGTTTCGGTACGGACGATGAGTGGAAAACAGCTTTTAAGCCAGTTTTCCGCTTCAATCGTATCGTACCGAAATGTAGCGTATTTCTTTGTTTCCTGAGCACTAGAGGGGAACTAATGACTTGGACACAAAAGAAAATCAGGGGCGCCGGAGCCACGGGGGCAACTGCCCCCGTTGCCCAAACAGTACGGGGGCAGCACGGGGGCAACAGGTTGCCCTATTTACCGCAACTGCACTTCGAAATTCGTGCGTTATTCCCAGGAATTGGAATTTATAACTATTTTGAAGCAGTGTTTAAGCAATCTTTGTTTAAATAAACTAGTTGTAGTAAAATTTGTGCTAAATCAAGGAATATACGCCCATTTCCTGATTTTATTTTGCGCCCTTAGCAAGGTGCAACAAATAAAATTGTTCAAAATTAATGTTGAAGTTCACCTGTGTAATTGAGTATCCATACACCCTTTTCATAAATGGCTGCCGATTAAAAATTCTTTTATGAGCATGTAAATTGGCCCAACTAGCCTCGTACTCATGTTAAGATTTCAAAGGAATTTCTACCCAGAAACGAGGCTAGTTGGGCCAATTTATAAGCACATAAAAGAATTTTTAATCGGCAGCCATTTATGAAAAGGGTGTATACAGTAACCGTTTTAACAAATATCGCCGCACAGAAAAATGATGGCTGAGAAGCAAGTGCCCTTTTGAAATGGCTGCCCCCGCCGCTTCACTTTGCTTCCGGCGCCCCTGAAGAAAATGTTACGGTACGTTAGGATTGAAGTGGAAAATACTACGGCTCAGGAAACAACGAAATACGCTACGTTCATTGAAGTGGAAAACTGGCTTAAAGATGATGTCCACCCCGTTCTGCGCATCAGTTCTGCTCATAACAAAGGGGGACCCCCACGGATATAAACATTGCCCAAATTTTGCATCTTTTGAACTTTTTTGAATTGAAACGTATAGTTTATATTCATTTACAAGCATATAGCGAAGCAGAAAAGTGTTAGATATTCAGTTAGTATATCATATTTTACAAATATAGCAGTTCAAAATGTGTTCGCGCATGTGCACACGAGTGGACATCATCTTTAAGTGTAAACAAAATAGAACCATGCAGACGAATTCTGGAAATTTAGAAGAAATAATAAATGAATATGTCACAAATGCTTCGCTTCCAACCAAAAATTATTAACATATTTTTCTATAGATGACGACATCGTTAGCGCGACGTACCGTACCATTACGAGAAACGGAGACTTCGCTGTAAAATTCAGCCACAGTATACCAGTACACCCATATCAAACAATCACAGACGAATTTTTCGAAGTCGACTTTCAACTTCAAGATAACCGCACTGCCAAAGAATTTTACCTACAAGTTGTCCCGCGCGAAAATTTACTAAATCCGCAACCACGGAAATCGCCCGGAATACCATTGAATATTCTTATTATCGGCGTCGATTCTCTATCCCACGCAGGAGCTAAGCGAAAGTTACCGAAAATTTACAAGTTTTTGCAGAAAGAGCTGGACGCCTATATCTTCCAAGGACACGTAGTTACGGGAGACGGAACGACGCAACAATTGACTCCGATGTTGACAGGTCGAAAGTTTTCTGAGCAGTACGAAGGTAGAGTGGGATTTGAAAATGCTCGCACACTTGATGACTGGACATGGGTATATAAAGAGTTAAAAGGTATAAGAATTTATTGACACGTTGGTTGTGTGACTCTTGGTTGTGTACTTGTGTTCGAACAAAACACCCCACCAATTTTCTTTATTGTAATTTAACGCTGATTTGGTTTTTCCGAAACACCCTCTGTCTCGAACCGTTTTTTTCCCTCTGTTCTGTCTGTTAAATAATTCACTAACATTATCTACTGGATTGACAATGTTGAACTATTTCTATAGAGCATGGTTATATAACTGGTTATTCTGAAGACAGTATTGAATATGGTCCGTTCCACTATCGTCTCAAAGGATACACGAATCAACCGACAGATTTGTACTCAAGACCTTTCTTCGAAAGGGCAAAACAATTCAATAAAGGACGACCAAATTTATGTCTTAATAACAAGAATATTGCGCGATACCAATTCGACTATATCAGAAGTGTGTTTGAGACATTGCCAAAGCAACTAAAATTTTTCTTTTCTTTCAATGGTAAGTACATTGACGTTGTCTTTTTGTGTACTTTTCAAGCAGGGGCAAGCAACAAAACCACGGTGCCCATGCGGTCTACCTCTCAAGTCCAGGTAACTATTTTCGCTCCTCCCCTCCACCTAAAAAAGAAGCCTTGATGAAAGCAAAATGCGAAAGAACAAGTTAGATTCTGATGCTAGTCTGCAATACCATAAAATTTTAAACGTATTTGGAACGTGCTTTAGATTGGATCGCCCCAATCATCGTTGCGACGACTTATGGATGGCTGTCCGCTATATACAGTACAACTCAAATTAGTTTAGGGCTATTCACTCTAGCAACTTATTAGATCGATCCGAAATCGTGGGCTGCCCCTTCTCTCACATAGACGAAAACAATTTTTCAGTAAGGATTTCAATTAGTACGCAAGATCTCGCCTAGTAGTAGTAGGACTACCAGCGCTTCATGCAGGGCTCATATACAGCTGATTCAATGAAGCTTGTCCTTTCAAAACCTTAAACTCTGAGCGCACAAGAGAGATGGGTTTTTACCTGTTAGGCCCTTAAACTCAGAAAATTGCCTTTGCAACAAGTATGTTTTTTGTCGTGAGTCTTCGATATGTCTCAGGTATTCTTGCAAAGCCAAATTTCAAAGTTTATGAGTCTAAATAAGCAATAACGCATCATCCCTAGCGCGCTCACAGTTTAAGTTTTACGTTTTTAGAAGGACAACCTTAATTGAATTAGCTGTAAACACCCCCTGGGCCCCTGGGTGTTGACCCCCTTCGCTCGAAAAGTCGACGTTCTGTCTATATTTTTCAAGAAGTTGTATCTCTCTCAATCCGTCCCTTTCCATGAAGATATATTACATTTCTTCTTAGAATGACCCAAATAGTACTCATGAGACCGGGACGAAGTGAAACCGGAATGAAAATTGAAATTGTCAGCATGTTTACATGAGACCGGTACGAAAATCACAACATTTTCAATTTATTCCCCTTGCCAAGCAATTTTCTTTTTTAGATGGCTTTTGTTAGCATGTGTTGTTCCAATGTCAAGGTTACAGCCGAGATCGGTCTGAAATGTATTTGTGTTTACATTCATCCCAGCATGCCGGTCTGAAGTCAGTCGGCTCGGTCTAGCAGGCGGAATGACTTGAGATCGGTCTGAGTTATTTTGGTCCTAGTCTCATGTAAACATTTATTATAAATAATACTATGACCGAAACGAAATGGTCCCGGTTTGACTTCGTTCCGCTCTCATGTAAACGGGGCCTTAGGGGCACTGTAATTTTAATATATTGTAGAACGAGCGGTTGACAATTTTTGTTACCTTATTTTCAGGCGGACATGGCCATCACGGAATCAACATAGTGCAGAAACTCGAGTGGGATTTCCTGGAATTGTTGCAAGAGATAAAGTCGAAAGGGTACCTCAATAATACTTTATTGATTGTCATGGGAGATCACGGCTTACGATTCGGTGAGGTGAGAGAATCAATCCAAGGCAAGCTGGAAGAACGTCTACCGCTTTACACAATGACCTTCCCGCCATGGTTCAAGTCTCGCTATCCCAAACTTACTGCAAGCTTAAAGACGAATACAAAACGTCTGACGTCATGGTTTGATGTGTACGCAACGTTTCGCCACATGTTGTCGTTCCCAGACCTCCCGTCGGATCTAAAGCACGGTCAAAGTCTTCTCACCGAGATTCCCTACTCTCGCACATGCGACGAGGCTAGTATCCCCGACCACTGGTGCCCGTGTTTAGAGTGGTCTGCGGTAAGCGTGGAGCATAGTCATATTAGAAATTCAGCACTAGCAACAGTGAAATATATTAATAATCTTAATCAGGAGAAGAACAAAAGTAGAACGTTATGTGAAAAGCTTACTCTAATGGAAGTGAAGTATGCGATGTTGGAACGACCCAATGAACGTGTTTTACAATTCAGTCACGTAGACTGGGATTGGAAGACGAATTTTAACGCAGATTTCAAAAACTCTCAGGCATACCTATGCCAGTATCAACTACAATTTGTGACAGCACCTAATAATGCTGTTTACGAGGCGACAGTCAAGTTCGTTCGAGGCAAATTTGTTGTGAACGTTGGCATCAGCAGAGTTAATAAATACGGCAACGAACCGTATTGTATCGCAAGCGACTTTCCACATCTAAGGAAGTTTTGCTCTTGCACAATTAAATAGCACAAAAATCTGACGAGTCAACAAAGTTGAATATATATCTAAAGTGTCAGTAACTTACACATGATGGCAGTGACGATATATGAAACGCAGATACGTTGATATACCCAGGCATGTAGAGTCCATTTGAGGTGTATTAATTACGTGGAATGGCGTTGCGAACCTGGCCAGATTTTCAGGGGAAGTGCGAGGAGGTGCGAGATATTGTGAAAAGTCATTTGATTCTTTTCAAAACTTGAATTAAAAATTAGATTTTTAAAAAAAGTAAAAAAAGGTCATCAAGTTTAGATTAGTGTCAGATAAAGCATAGGCAGCCCAAAACGGCATGTAGAATGCACCGATAATGCTTCCAAATGTCAATTTGAATTAAGCTCGCCCCATTCCTTTGTCACTTGTCGCGCGCCGCAAGCACTCAATTGAAAAGCAGTGTTGATATATATAGATTATACCTAAGGTTGGCAACTATATCTCAACTGACGAATATACCACTTCGGCAAAACGCAAAATACTTCGCACACGTATATAAAACATGATAAAAAATTATACCACATTGAACTCTGATATTTTTTCTACATACCCGCATATAAATTTTGTTTTCAAGACTGCAAGAAAGATGAAAAATTTGCACAAACGTTTCATGGTCTGATGAAAATTTTGTTGTACCTACCAGGTGATCTTGATACGCGGAAAAGTACTGGCACTAGTTGTCAAATAGAAATCCATTTTATGATTAAAACAACTGAATATCTCCTGTAATATACTTTATTTCGATTCCATATTTTTGTCAGAGCTATAGTTCCCATAACCAAACATAATTACAAAATTTCAACTAGTTTCATAAAGAATAACGAAAGATATAATTGACTGAATACATCGAAATGGATTTCTATTCGGACAACCCTTTCTGAACGCTGATTGGCTAAAATACGAACACGAGATCACCTGGTATGCGGGATGCTAGAGGTTATTTCATTCGTCATATTTTCAAAAAAATTATGCGATTCAATTGGTTGAAAAAATAAACAGTTTGTGACGTATTTATAGTAAAAATTTGGTTTCAGGGGGGGGGGGGTTGAACTACAACAGGAAGACTGCTAAAATACAAGAGCGATTTTTTTTCGAAGATGAAATGGTGGATTTTAAAAACTTTTTACATCCATCCATAACTTTACATCCATAACATCGAAGCGTGTTCGCATATCGCTATGTCTTGTTAGCACATTTTCTTCGCCACTATTGCTCAGAATGTCATGACATTTCGTGTACATGTAGCCAAAAGTTGCCTGCTTGTTTTGCTGTAGATTTACATTTTCTTCGCCACTATTGCTCAGAATGTCATGACATTTCGTGTACATGTAGCCAAAAGTTGCCTGCTTGTTTTGCTGTAGATTTACATGACATTTCGTGTACATGTAGCCAAAAGTTGCCTGGTTGTTTTGCTCCACCATTTCATCTTCGAAAAAAAATCGCTCTTGTATTTTAGCAGTCTTCCTGCACCATTTCATCTTCGAAAAAAAATCGCTCTTGTATTTTAGCAGTCTTCCTGTTGTAGTTCAACCCCCTCCCCCCCCTGAAACCAAATTTTTACTATAAATACGTCACAAACTGTTTATTTTTTCAACCAATTGAATCGCATAATTTTTTTGAAAATATGACGAATGAAATAACCTCTAGCATCCCGCATTGAATCGCATAATTTTTTTGAAAATATGACGAATGAAATAACCTCTAGCATCCCGCATACCTATTAGGTACAACAAAATTTTCATCAGACCATGAAACGTTTGTGCAAATTTTTCATCTTTCTTGCAGTCTTGAAAACAAAATTTATATGCGGGTATGTAGAAAAAATATCAGAGTTCAATGTGGTATAATTTTTTATCATGTTTTATTTACGTACGAAGTATTTTGCGTTTTGCCGAAGTGGTATATTCGTCAGTTGAGATATAGTTGCCAACCTTAGGTATAATCTATATATATCAACACTGCTTTTCAATTGAGTGCTTGCGGCGCGCGACAAATGACGAAGGAATGGGGCGAGCTTAATGCAAATTGACATTTGGAAGCATTATTGGTGCATTCTACACGCCGTTTTGGGCTGCCTATGGATAAAGATTAGATTATGGTAGGGTTAGTGTTAGGGCTCAACCGATGTGACGCATTTGTCGTATTGATCATTTCGGTTAAACAATTTACTCATATGTAAATTCAAAGGTGGAGCTCATGCTGTTTAGCCTACATACTTGTTATCCTGCTATAAATTCATACCTACTATTTCAGGGAGATTAGAGTCACGTGATATCTTAGTGTTAGTGTAAGTCCCCTACTCCCCAGAAAATGGTTTATCTGAATTCTGAAATGAAAGCAACAAGAGCGCCATTTTTTAACGGCCGCTTGACGGTATGTTCGTTTTTGCCATCTAAAATGGCGGACACCAAAAATTGTTTCACATTTTGTGTTGTGACATTACTTTTAAGGACTGAATTTATTTAACAGGGCTGCCACCCTTTAGTTAAGGTGAAAGTGAAGGACTTGTGCAGGACTTCAAGGATGACATGAAAATGACACGGGTGTTTCCCTTTGAAACACTGCTATTTAGTCAAGGTTATACAGTATTCTATAAATAATGTTCAAGTTTTATTAGCACAGCTGAAAGAAATTCCAGGACTTTCAAAGATCTGCACTAATTTTCAAGGATTTTCCACGTCTGCATGATTAATTGACTTATTTTCTTCAAATTAATGCGAGGACTTTACACATCGAAACTCACCCAACATCACACATGGTATGACCACTAATTAACACTAATTAACACTAATTAACCAAAAATGAGCAAATTACACATAATTACCAAAATCCTTAGCTTCGCCATCGATCGTGTACATAAAGTCCCGTGTAAGGGCCGGAGGCGTACCCCCCATTCTTGTCAAACTCATTTCTCCCACAGGTACAAGGGTCCCTCAGTTCCAAAATTCCCCACTTCTTGGAAAGCAAAGAGTGAACAGTTTGATCGTGTCTGTTCCCTACAAAACCTTCAAAATTTGGTTGACCAAGAACATTGTCGTTATCACTGCTAATGCGAGAATCCATAGTGTATGCAAGATACTCCATAAAATACTGGATGGTCTCGCAATTTTTCATAGCAACTATAAGATTAGCTAACCGTTGCGTCTGACCTTTGGCATAAACGATAGGAGTGTTCATATCCGTAAGAATAAAAGCATCTCTTTTTGAATACAACCGCTCCTCGTAGTTCATGGCAAACGTCAAAATACTCGGTTTCACGTGTTCACAAACTTTCAGCAGTGGTCCAATGTCGTTGACAAAATACATTCCAGAATCGTGATACACTAGCAAATCTCCATCGTGCAATTTATACAGCAAAGCGTAGAGTATTATATAGGCTTTCCATAACCAGTACCCAGCCCCTTTGCGCTTACGCAATTGCTCATGATGTGAAATTTGAAATGGCACAGACAAGGCCGACAAATCCAATGCTTCGGCGTAATCCATTTTAGCGTCACTGACGGCATGTTCTATCGCTCTGGCTTTCGAATTGTTGCAACAGTTATGTCCATAACTTAACAGAATCTTTCGCTTCTTTATCGTTTTAGCAGAAACATTGTAGCGTCGAAGTAATTCTCGAGTTTTCTTCGAATCGCCTTGCTTCCAAGGGTGATTCCAGCGAAGATGCGTTTGTTTTAACTTATTCAAGTCAACCGGCTCGCGAAATTTCCATCGTGTTCTCTTCGTTTCGCGTGGAAGCTTTATCTTAAGCCCGTTTAACATTTCACGTGCAATTCCGTACAATTGTGGACATTTTTTCTCATCTGCCGACGTATCGACTTCAATGGGGCCTTCAAAATCCGCCGCTCTTCTCCGATAAAATGTCTTCTTCCAAACATTCTCCTCGCGCTGCTGTTTTATAATTTCGCATTTTAGCCCGTTAGGATCAAAGCATATATCTTGTTTGAGGTTTTGTTCGTTGTTAGAAAACGATATGCCGGCCAATTTGTGCAACTTGTCTTTCAAATGAGGCTTCTGATAAGTCAAAAATAACGTAAAGCCAGTCAACGACAAGCACAGCAAGAAGCATGTTGTTAACACACGTTTGAGTTCTCTGTTGCTGCGACCAAGTAAAAGGAAAAGGTTTCTTACACCGGCCATTGAAGTCTTAGTGTATATACAGTTATATATACACACGACTGTACGAAGTGATAGAAAGCATCCCTTTATCACAAACAAGCATTCACAATTAGGTATACAGGGTGTATAAAAGAAACGCAACCTCGGCATTTCCCAAGAAATGGACATTGTTTCAAGGACAAAAGATTTTAGGTCCCTGGGAATTTAAAATAGCACAACTGTCAAAATTACTGCACATCGAGTGCATAAAGCAAAATTTATGCATTTATTTAATGCACTTAATAAGTTTTAATTTTACAAGTACAGTAGTCAGTACAACAACAGTTAAATTATCAAGGGCCTTCCCAGGGACCTAAAATCTTTTATGCTTAAGAATTGCAAAGTGGATTTCTTAGGAAATTCCGAGGTTAGTTTTTTATACACCCGGTAGTTTCGCTATTATTATTACCTATCTATCAATAAATACCAGTGGGAATTATGGTTGTTTACATTTACATGGAAATTCCGGTGATTCCAACGGAAAGTAAATGAACAAGCATATTTCGAGGGCCCAACCGGAACTTTTGGTTGGAACGTTTCAACTGGTGAATTTTGTTCAGTTTTTTGGTGAGTTTTGAATTTTTTTCACCAGTTTCTAGTTTGAAATATGGAGAAGTGTTAGACGCGAACTCTTATCCCGTAGACTGTTTAGTGATATTTTTAATGACAAAAACCCCAAGCTGGCAGAACTTTTACCATCCAAGTCAAGCCACAAAAAGTCCTTAAAGACTCTTCGACACTCCAATTTGTAAAACAGATCGGTTTAAAAATAATTTATTATCAGTCACAGCATGTACTAATCACAGCGATTAGATATAGGATGACGAAACTAGCCTTTTCTTAATGTCATAATTATATAGCCATAGGGCAGAATTTAAAACTAAGTAAAATCCGCACACATAGAAGCTTATATTCTCATTTGCCGCACTCAGGCTGAAGAAAAAGGACCATGGATCACTTGAAATGTTATTTTTCGCAATGGCTAGATTATACTTTGTGCCAATCACAATTTTATTCAGTTTATATGCCGTGTCTGCCTCGTCCCCAGGCGCTATAAAACGATTTCACACACGAGTCACTATATAAAAGTTTACATGAAGTAGTGCGTCACATTATAGGCGCGCAAAGGAGAATGGGATATTGCCCATAAACCCCTGCGCTTGTTTTCGTTGCGATGCACTACTTCATGTAAACCTTTGATATGGTGACTCGCATGAAATTTTTTATTTTCGCCGAAGGCAAGGTGATTATCGGTGAATAAAAACCGAGACAAAGTCGAAGTTTTTATTCACGATAATCACCGAGCCTGAGGTGAATAATTGTTTTAGTATAATTTCATAGGTGATTATTTGGAAAAAAAAAAAAAAAATACACATTTCTTCGTCATTATCGCGTTATAAGCACCTCAACGGCAACCAATCAGCGTGGAGAATTGTCAATAATCACCTATGTAATTATACTAAAAGGCGATAAAGATACTTTGTAAAATTGCAGTTAAGGCATGCATGAAAAATCAAAAATATGGTCAGAAAATACACTCTATCGATTTGGATAAATTTTGTTTCATGTAATCCAGTAGGATTTTTTCTTATTTATACGCATATCTGCCAAATTCTATATATATACTGTATTATTTAAAGAACATGTATGTGAGTGTTTTTAATATCATATCTAATACGCTCTGCCTATGGCCTGGCATTTTAAAACGTCTAGATGTTCTTTAATGACCACTTGTGAAAGAATAATTTTCATACGCATGGCATATTCTGTTGTATTTGAATATGATATAAGACGCTTTTCTGCTTTAGTTTATTTCAAACAGTATTGACGTCAAAGGTTTTCATTTTCGGATTTTCCAATTCGGAGGTATAACAAAATGCATATTATCTCCAGAAGAAAGCTGGTTCCAATGGTATTTGTCGTGTTGGTCATTGCTGGTTTTGGGTATTATACCATTTAATCAGCATTCAGAAGGTGTCATAGTCGACGTCGGTAAGTCCCACTAAAATTACTCTACCTATCGTAGAATGCTATTTGATATTTGGGTTATCTCGATGAAATTTGACACTTTGACAAAGTCATGTAGGTTTGAGGTAATTTCGATTCATAAACACAATCACTGAATAGGCACCTTTTAGATAAAGACAATTAATGCCGAGGTTAGGTTATAGAAATAAGTTGAGTGTTCCACGTTCTGCAGATTCTTACATAAAAACTGTTTTGAAAGGTTAATTTCTAACTAAAGCGGGGCGGTTCAAATGAACCAGCTGCCTTTAAAAATGATTCAATAGCAAAACCAATATACAGTCCTTTACAGATAATAATCAGTTGAACAATTAAATGCTTTTTATTTCAAAATACGACAGTCTGGTTGAATAAAATATTATACCAACAAATTTATAATTTCCTTATTCTCTTGACCAATTAATTGAGCACCACAAGATCAATGACTTCACTTAAGTTCAACTCGAATAAAATAAAGCGTTTATATTAGTCATTAAAATGTTAACAATAGTATAGTCTTTGAAATAGACTGGGCTAGCTGAAACCCGTGACCTTTGGGTGGCCATAGAGCATTGGACTATAGTATCCCAAAGGTCGCGGGTTGTTCGATTCCCACCGTGGTTAGGCAAACTTTTCAGCAGTTGCGTGCCCGGTGTGGATGCACACTCAGAGTAACACCACCAACATTATTATATGTCTTCGTGGCTCCATTTGTTCTGAAGATGAAGACACTTAAGATCCAAAAGCAGAGTTAAAACTCTCTTTTTTCATATTCGAATGTACTGTATCATGACAAAGATGGCTATCCCAGTTATTTTCTAACAAAGGTATTTCCAGCTATTTTCCGACAGAACGCGAACACTGTGTAGTATCTCACATTATGTTATTATTCATTAACTCTCATTGTGGATGTCAAGACGACATGTATATACGTGGCATCATTGAAATAGCAATTGTTCGTCTCCAAACAAGCCCGCCAAATGTGCGTGAAATAAAAAGGGGGCTTCGGGGAGTGAGGCTAAATTGAGAATTTACGATAATTACCAAGTAAAATGCACTGCTTCGATCTTGTCTAGTTGAAATAGCAAAGACGGAAAAAGACATAGCAGCTATATGCAAAGGCTTAAAGTCAACACAATCAGAAGTTGGTAAAGAAACTATCGTTCACACGACGTCGAATGAAAAGATGGTTGTACCGCACGCAACCACGCAAAGTCCCCTGGATGTGGAGGTAAAAATGCAGTCTCTATAACAATTTCCCTTCTTCGTCATCAGTGGTTTACCCGGCACTTAACAGAGGTCATAAAACCTATAATCAGTACTTAAAAGGTCCTCTTACTAAAATACACCCACCAGTTTTTGAAAGAAAGAATAATTTCAGTTCATATTTTGCATATGAACTAGACTTTAGTCAATATTAATCAACCTTTTATCAGAACGTTTCAATTCCATGTTATGTGTGCCACCTTGAAAAATGTTTTTCGTTTTACCTCAAAAAACCACAACAGTCTGTTTCATCCATATATATATATATATATATATGGTCAATTTATCTGAAGAGTGCCACATACTGTGGTACGAAACTATTTAGTAATAAAGATGCCTAGTGGATTTTGTTGATTTGTTGTACCTTAATTTAAATATGCTCTGGTTTTCCATTGAGCACTTTGCCAAAAGTTTTTATAACCAACAAAACCAAATTACTTTGCCAAAAGTTTTTATAACCAACGAAATATATATATATATATATATATATATATATATATATATATATATATATATATATATATATATATATATATATATATATATATATATATATATATATATATATATATATATATATATATATATATATATTTCGCGAAAGCTTGCATGTAGACTGTAGTATTACTGGATATAAGCTCATTGCTTTCGCTTAACATGCAGAATTCTGATTATCATGTAAGCAAGGTTACTTTCTATAGCTTTTGCGATAACTTAGTGAAAATGCAGCCAAGTGCATTAAGACATTGCCCCTTGAGCTACCAAGAATAGTACAAGGCCAAGAGCAAGGTCATAATCAACACATTATGGATTAACTCGCACTATAGTCAAAAGTGCTGCTTTCTTTCTAACTTTGTTTTAATTAAAAATGTCAATTTAACATGATTTTAATTGCCCATTGGTTGCCCACCGAAATCTAAACAGCGGGTTCAATATTGAATTTGAAACAGAATCAAAACATCACATGTATTAAGTTCTTTGAATGTTTGCATGGCGATAAAATATAATTGTTTTTGTTTGTGGAAACACCACGTAAATTTATTACTGCAAAGCTTTCGATCCGTAAGCCCGGATCTTCATCAGTGCTAATAATATGACATATTATTATTTGCAGTAATAAATTTACGTGGTGTTTCCACAAACAAAAACAATTATATCACATGTATTGTTCTTTCGTGATCATCATTATACACTCAAATGTTGAGAGAAGAAGAACTCGCAGTATGTTATGTTATGTATTTGATATGTGAACACGGAATACTTGGAATATGAATGCAAGATAATGATACATCGACAGTAATCATAGTCATGCGTGAAAAAATATATACTGCATGTATAAGTAATGTTTACAACATGAGCGGCCGTGTTGTATCGGATATACAAAAACAACTTAAAAAACGACTCATCTTATAAGTTCTTTGGCAAAGTAATTTTAAAAATAAACGTTGTCTAAGCCGAGAAAATGAAAGTTAAAGTTTATGTAAATCAACATGAATCTGTATCACATATACAGATAGACACGCTTATGATTTTTCTTTGTGTTTTCTTCATGAATTATTAATGAGTTTTTAATCTCGAATATATAATACCATTAAATCTCTTTTTGCAGGCGGAAAAGGATAGCAAAAAGAGGTTGGAATCGATCAATACAGTTTGCCGAGAACGTAACGTAATCAATTTTTTGGAACCGCCAACTGATCGCAGAGACAGAGCAAAGAATCAACGTGCTTCGACATTTGGTTGTGAGCGAAAAATACAAAGTTATTTATTGCTATATACCTAAAGTTAGCTCCACCAACATGAAGAGGATATTCCTGGTTTTGGAAGGATTGTATCCAAGTATTACTCAAATCCAGAACCAGCTGGATCTTCAATTAGTGCGTTTGAATAACCAAAAGTGCACTGAAGAACAACGGCAGTATATGCTTAAGAATTTCTACAAGTTCATGATTGTACGCGATCCTTTCGAACGGCTCGTGTCTGCGTTCCTACATAAATTCAGACGTATGAATCACCAAATTTTTTCATCCCTAACAAAACCGAATAGAAATAATACAAAAACACTTATAGCTGGACGTAATGTCAGTTTCACGGAGTACGCATTACATTTGATTAACAATCCGCCTTGGATGCTTGACATGCATTTTATGCCATATGAAGACCTATGCAGACCTTGTGATGTGAAATATGACTTCATCGGCTCTATCGACAATCTAAGCCGAGATGTGACCCATGTTATGAGACAAATACATGCAAATGAAACCAAGCTCCATGCATGTGGTACACAACAGCGCTGCGCGAACCAAAACAAAAGAAACAACTGCAGATTTCCTAAAAGAACTTTCCAGAAAGTATTTTGATCAACTATTGACTGTTTATAAAACAGATCACGAGTTATTTGGTTATCCTCTGCCCAAATACAACACACTGGACAAGCGGTACCCCGCCTGATAAAAATGGTTCACATTATACTTGCCTATACGTTGGGTAGGGATTCTATTATAAAAGTAAAGTCTATTCTAGACTAAAAGTAAATTCAATTGAGGTTTTGTTTGTGCGGAGAGAAAACTCAACCACGAAACCTCAGTCTATGTAACAAACACAACTATCTAGAAGAAGATTTGGTACATTAACTACTATAGTCTATATTATTATACATTGTAGTCACTGCTTGCGTTTTGATTTTTTTTTTTATCGGAACTTTAGTAGGTAAATGAGTTTTTTCTAATATTTTTATGCTGTTACTCAGTGATATTTTACATCGTATTCACTTTCCTTGAGTACAAAACGGTTTTTTTTGCCTCAAATCACTGTTTGTCGAAGGAGTTAACAAAAATGCAATGTATGCAGCTAATTAAAAAAAGGTTGTCCTTTGCTAACCTTAAAAAACTCTAAAGCTTAAACTCTAAACCTTAAACTCTAAGCTTGCAAAGCATAATGGGAGCAAATTTAATCAGTTTAGAAATCATTATTACATGCCGTATACGTGCCAAATTCTACCTACTGTTTTTATTTAAAGCACACCTAGCCTAGTATCAGGGCCGTGCCACCTGGGGGGTGTATCACCCCCCCCAAAGTAAAGTAAAAAAGGGGGCCCAAATTGCGGACAGGGGGCCCTGGAAAGCGGAACTTTTAAATATTGAGGAATTTCCTGGAAAATTGGTCTAAAAAGATCTTCAAAACTAAATTTAAGCCCCCATTATGTAAACCTAGTGTTTGGGGCCTCCCCCCTCCCCAGTATTTTCCAGAAAAATTCTTTGGTTTCTGGAAAATTTTTTTTGAGGGGGCCCCCAAATTTTTTATTTCACCCCCCCCAAACCAAAAAACACTTGGCACGGCCCTGCCTGGTATAGAAGTGTTTTAATTATTTATTTTAAGGGACGGACCATTAGAAAAGTGATGGGGGGGGGGGGACTTTTTCAACTATTGTACGAATAATTTTTCAAAATTTTTTGCTTGTGTCGATAATTTTTTTACTAATATAACCCCTTGGCCTTGCTATAATTTTTTTTTTATTTCAACTTATTATTTTCCCTATCGGAAAAGTCTCTGCACGAATTTTTTTTTCAAACTTTTTCGGTGCACGAATTTTTTTCTTTCTGTTTCCCCTACTCGATTTTTATTTTTGCTTTATCACGTATTTCTAGACGTGAAACGCTCTTTTAATCATCAATCTTCAACTGTCGCTAATGTTGAGCCATCTATGTCCGGTCGAAAAGGTTGTCTCTTTGTTATTCGTGTTTCATTTGGTCATACATTGCCATTGGGGCTTTCAAGTGCTACAGTCTACAGAGGACATAAATATACTATTTCTTGACAATCGATTGAGGGCAAGACGACGACAATAATCAATATACAACAGGAAATGTACCATTAAGTATTTGTGATTGTGGCAATCTCAACACAAATCGGTACATTATATTAAAGTTTGTCATAAACCGAATGTTTACAATGCCAAAGTAAGACTGTCCAAAATATTCAAATTTTGACTATCTTTATCCTCACTGTTGACCAATATCTATAGAATGCAATTTATATGCAGCATATACTTCACCTTTGTTTATTTGCACGAATGCAGAATATTAAAACTAGTTCTTGTTTAGCTTCCTCCACAGGCATCTCTTAAATCGTCGAGAACTTATATAATTTAGTTATTCAAATAACTGATGTTCTTATTGGGTTACGGTAAGTACCACGAGATGCCTGCGGAGGAGGCTATAGTTCTTGTTAAAATACGAGGTTCAGTCAGCAATGAAAACAGAACACTTTTGCTAGCTAATTGAACACTATTAGTATTACTGCGAGTCAGTCATGTGCCCCCATGGTTATGAACGCCAACCAGAGAAGATTCGGGCAAAATTATACTAGTGATATGTGGCAAATTCTACTCCTAGGGTGGTCTGCGCCCTGCTGGCATTACAATTAAAAATTCTAGATGTTTTTCACACGCATGGCAGATTCGATCTGTCGTATTTTAATAGTTTATTTCAAACGATACTGACGACAAAGGTTTTGATTTTTTATATATAACAAAATGCCTACCTACGGAACAATGCTGCTGGTTCCGACGGTATTTGTCGTGTTGGTCATTGCTGGTTTTGAGTATTATTATTTTAAATCGACACCGTTTATTAATGGGCGTTCAGATGCTGTCATAGCTGACGTTGGTAAGTCCGTTCACACAACATTCACACTACACCGAAGCGTTCTAAAACGGCGTAAAAATGTCACAATTATCCGTCGCGTCCACACTACGCCGAAGCGACGTTGTCTGAAATTAAAACGTCACTTTTGCCGCAACAATTTGAGCACGGTTTCTGGCGCGGAGCGAATTGAAAACGAAGCACTTGCATGCCGACGTCGTGTGAACACAAACGCCGTCACTTTTTTTGCGCCGCTTGCACCAAGGATCTGAAGTCTCAAAACAGTAAATTCGAAATGCTTTTCGTGTAAATTTCTTTGCTCTATTTGAGATATTTTGGCTTTAAATGAGTGCTAGTTTATTTTGTAAACAACTGAACTGCAACGGCGTAGCTAGTGTGAACACACGTAAATTCTGGCGGCACTGTTTCGCTCCAGGTTAGTGTGAACGCGTAGTCTAAAAATATTTTACATCGAATGCTATTAGATATTTGGGTTATCTCGATGAAATTTGACACATATATACAGTCTTGCAGTTGGTTTGAGGTAATTTCGATTCATAAACATTAGTTAATCAGGTGTTGTAGTCAAATAACCACCGTTTGAGCAACGACAATGAAGTTAGGCGGTTATAGAAATAGGTATGGAGGTGTTTCACTTTGTGCTGGTTCTTATACATAAAAAACTGTTTTGGAAGGTCCTGACGCAGAGCTAAAGCTTTAAAGGTTTAAATGAACCTGCAGCTTTCAAAAATTCTTCAATAGCAAAACCAGTATACAGTCTTGAACAGATAATAATCAGTTGCACAATTAAATGCTTTAGTTTTATTTTAAAATATGAGAGTCTGGTTGAATAACATATTATACCAACAAATTATTAATTTTGTTATATACAGTTCTCTTGACCAATTCACAATTGGGCATCACAAAACTAAAAGTCGATATTGACTTCACTATGTGACTACTTACCCTCCAGCTATTCAAAAACAGCATTGACACTCAAGAGAAGCTCAGATTGAACCTCCACTCATTGAGTGTGAGTGAGCTTTTAGAATACGGGCGTTAGTCATGCATGAAAATTAAAAATCAATATAATCTCGAATATATAATACCATTAACTCTCTTTTTAAGGCGGAAAAGGACAGCAAGAAGAGGTTGGAGTCGATCAATAGAGTTTGCAGAAAACGTAACGTAACAAATTTAGTGAAACCGATAAATGATCGCAGAGAGAGAGAGAAGGCACGGCGAAGAAACACCTTGTTTGAACATTTGGTTGTGAACGAAAAATACAAAGTTATTTATTGCTATCTACCTAAAGTTAGTACAACCAACATGAAGAGGATATTCCTGGTTTTGGAAGGATTGTATTCAAGTATTAGTCAAGTCGAGATGCTGGATCGTCAATTAATACGTTTGAATAATCCAAAGTTCACTGAAGAACAACGACAGTATATGCTTAAGAATTTCTACAAGTTCACAATTGTACGAGATCCTTTCGAACGGTTCGTGTCTGCGTTCCTACATAAATTCCGACGTTACAGTGAAGTCACAATTTTTGCATCCCTTGGAAAACGGAATACAAATAATACAAAAACACCTATAGCAGGACGTAATGTAAGCTTCACGGAGTTCGCACTCAATGCGATTAACAATCCGCCTTGGATGCTGAACATGCATTGGATGCCATATGAAGACCTATGCCATCCTTGTCATGTGAAATATGACTTCATCGGCTCTATCGACAATCTTGATCGAGATGTGACCCATGCCATGAGACAGATACATGCAAATGAAACCAAGCATCACGTGATACGCGACAGCCGTGCACGAACCAAAACAAAACAAACAACAGCAGATTTCCTAAAAGAACTTTCCAGAGAGTACTTTGATCAACTGTTGGCTGTTTATAAAACAGACCACGAGTTATTTGGTTATCCTCTGCCCAAATACGACACATTGGATAAGCGCTACCCCGCCTGATAAAAATGGTATACATTATTTGCCTATTGAACGTTTGTACTCAATGGCGCCATGTTGGTGTTCCAGATAAAAGAGTCTAATTAGAATTCTTTTAATGGACCTTTCCCCTTACAACTAAAATTTTGGTCGAGACAAAAATTTCATCATAGCCCGGAAGAGCATCACAAAATTAGTAATATTCCAAAGTTTCGTTGCGAAATGTTGTAAAATGCTGATAATATAGCCTTGCGAAGTTTGCCGTTTCTCAGTCATTTTGTATTACGCATGGGAAATTGACAGCCCAATCGGGTGTTGGGGTATCGATTTCTCGTTTGTAATACAAAATGACTGAAACTTGCAAATTTGCAAACACTCTATACATTGGGTATAGGGATATTATTATTATAGTCTATAGATTACAAGTTAATTCAATCGAAGTTTTGTTTGTGAGAGTTAGTAGATTTGGTTTAAAAAACTCATTAATAATTCATGAAGAAAACACAAAGAAAAATCATAAGCGTGTCGTGTCTGTATATGTGATATAGATTCATGTTGATTTACATAAACTTTAACTTTGATTTTCACGGCTTAGACAACGTTTATTTTTAAAATTACTTCGCCAATGAACTCATAAGATGAGTCATTTTTTAAGCCATTTCGCGTCCGTGTTGTATCGGATATACAAACTCTCGCCTTCGGCTCGAGTTTGTATATCCGATACAACACGGCCGCTCATGTTGTAAATAGTACATATTAACTGCATGGTATATTCTAATAAATGGAATTTTCCATTCAAGGGGCGACAGCCGAGTAGAGTGGAAACTTCCATCTTTCGCCGAATGTAAATATTTTTACTATTGCGCGAATGAAAACATTCATTATTTGTTTTATATGACACCAAAATACTGAAAATAGATCAATTTATTGAATTTTTAGGTGAATTAAATATAAAACAATTTAAACAAATGCATATACCTTGTTCAAAAATTAATGATGAAAAGTTGTAATGAATCCACCCGGAATTTCAACCCGGTCAACAGGGCTGAGTTCAACCGCGGGGTTGAAATTTCAACCCTGCTTCAGCTAGCAGGGCTGAAATTATTCGAGCATGCGTGCTAGTGACTATTTATTACAAGAAAACAAAATGGAGGCTATGGAGCCGCTTTTTTACTTCTGGGAATCAATGTCGGGAACGTAAAGCATTTCAACCCTATTTCAAGCCCATCGCAAAAAATTTCAACCCGGTTAGCAGGGCTGAGTTCAACCCCGGGATTGAAACTGCTCCATGTAATCGGCCCCTTAGTTTTTTAGTTTAAATGTACCCATTGGACATCGGAATAATAAATATACCCGGGTGCATTTAAGGAAGACGTTTACGTGCGGGTACACCTTGCTCGTTTTAGGCAAATCCGTTCCCAACGTGTGTCCCACACGATCCCAAGCAGGGATGGATCCAGCATGGTCTTGTAGGGGGGGGGGGTGCTCCGCCAAAAAAAATTTTCGGAAAGCAACAACCTCCTCCCCCCCCACCACCATCGACAACTTTTTAGGGAAAATTTTTTTCCGGACGAGTACGTTGCAATTGCTTTCCAGTGACTTTACACATCCATCAACTTGCTTAACCACTGCAAAGTCTAGCTACAGTATTTGAATTGTAATTGTTGTTCACAGTTCGCTTAT